GCTCTGAACCGCTGAGCCATCTCTCCATCCCATGTAGTATGTTCTTAGACTGTAATTTTGTATATACATGTGTATGTGCATGTATGTAGAGGCCAGAAGTAGACATCAACTGTCTTCTTTAATTGTTCTCCACCTTTTCCTCTTCTTCTTCCTTTTAAATACAGGGCTCCTACTGAACCTGGAGACCACCAGTGTAGCTGGACTAGCTGGCTGGAAACCCTGGGCTCCTCCCCTCTCCACACCTCCACCACTGAGATCACAAGCGTAAATTATCACATCCAGCTTTTTACGTGGCTATTAGTATTAGTGATTGAACTCAGGGTCCTCCTGCTTACACGACAAGCACTTTACTGTCTGAGGCATCTCCTCAGCTCCCCTAAAAGACTGTGGAGCCCTGGCTAACCTGGAGCTTGCTGCGCAGATTAGGCTGGCTTTGAATTTATAGATCCATCCACCTGCCCCTGCTTGCTGGGTGCTGGAATTAAAGGCACATACCACCACCCTCTGCCCAGGACTGGTCAGTGTAGGTCCCATTGAGATGATTTTAGATCTGACTTAAAGGTGAAGGAGTTAGTCATAAGTTTATGTAGAAGTGTCAGGCAGAAGCCCTATGTTTGGAGCATACCTGGCGAGTTTGAGATACAGGGAGGCTCATGTAGCTGGAGCAGGTGAATAGGAGGTAGGAGGGAGATGAATCTGAGAGATAGTGGAGGATGGGAGTGGCAGGACCTGTTAAGGTCTTGCAGAAGCCTATATAGTATCTTGTCCATAGTGGGTGCTCAGTAAGCATTTGGTCAAAGTTACCTGTTGCAGCCCAGGTAGCTTTGTGTACTTATTAGAGTTATGTGTGACTTCATCCCAGGGGCCTCCCAATGGTTCTACACAAGTGTAGCACAGCACAGTACATAGCAGGGATCAAAGCGAATACTTTACAACCAGAAAGAGGAAACTCATGTCAGTACTGTGGCTGCTGGATAACTCTTAGGCCTTTTTAAACGTCCATGAGGGTCAGAGCAGGTGCTCAATATGTTTATAATCATAAACTTCATCCCAGTCAAAACCTCCCAACCCCGGGATGTAGATCTGTATTTTCAGCCTAAGAGGAACAGCTTAAATGATTCAATTCCCCCTGCCTTCAGCTCAAGTGCTCTGAATTATCCTCTGGAGATAATGCTGACACCAGTACACATCTCAAGTGGCTATGGGATTTGTGCTTTAACTGGTCTCCAAGATCACAAAGCCTTTCCTAGCTTACACTTAGTTGCAGTTAATAGGTACCAGTTAAATGAAGGAATAAATAACCTGTTTTTTTAAAAAAAATTCTTTTCTTATAGTCCATTTTTTCCAGCCTCCAGAATGCAGACTATTCTAGGGAACTTTGACCACAGAACTATCAGCCTCATAAAAGAGGAAGGAGGCAGAAGGAAAGATAGAAACCTCATTAGCCATCAACAACCTCTTAAGGCACAGAGGAGAAAAACCACAGGGAAGGACAGGCTATGTGAGTTCTTGGCTCTTTAGGTCCAACACAGTGAAACAAATCAATTAACCTTGGGTTTAAGCTCAGAATCTTGGGCTGTCTGAATCTGTTTGGAGCTGGAGTCTTAACTAGAAATAAAACTGTTTCCTATGTAGAGCAGGAGAATGATCTAGAAGACAAATGAATAGACAAACAAGGGAGTGCTTGGAAACAGAGACTGGCTGAACACTAACGTCATCTTTCTGTGAGAAAAGCAGTAGACTTCAAGCAAACAGAAAAGGGGAAAAAGTGTTTTCCCCTCTGTTTGGTGGCAGTGCTGAGGGGGCAGGTCAGGCCTTTGTGCACATGTTAGGCAAGAGGTCTATCAGTAAGCTACATCCTCAGAGCCTTCACCACATTTCCTTTATAATTATGTCTATAAGTAGAAATCTGGGAACTAGCTCTTGCAAACACTTCTAAGCTACTAATTGCCACTGCCTTTCGGTTTTCTTTAGGCCTAGGTTCTGATAAGTGTCAGTTCATGTCACAAAGACCATCCTGTCAGGGTCTGAGATGGCTCAGTTCGAGCAGTCATGCTTGCTCCCATGACTGGTGCATGAGTTCACAGGTCACAGTGTTTGTATGTGCACTCTGTGCTTTCAATACCCATAGAGTCCAGAAAGTGTTAGATTCCTTGGAACTGGTGTTACAGGAAGTTATAAGCTGCCATGTGGATGTTGGGAATTGAACCTAGGTCCTCTGCAAGAGCAGTAAACACTCTTAACTGCTAGGCTGTTTCTCCAACCCATTTTGGTGATTTTTAAAATATATGTATGATGTATGTTCACACATACACACACACACACACACACGTTGGGAGCTGACTCTTAGCCGAAAGCGGCTATCATCTTTACAGCCATCTCGAGCCATATACCTGACAAGAGACTTGTTTTCAACAGCCCACAACAGCTGAGCACACTCTGATAAACATCTTGTTTTGCTGTTTAGTGTCGCCAGCAGCTAGGTGCACATGGTCTCCACGCTGCTAGGCGCATGACTAGTGCCTTCAGTTGAGCTTGTCCAAGAGGGCAAGTCACGTGGTAAAGGGTATAAACACCCAGGATTTCCTTTCAATAAAAGAGACTTGACCAGACTCTGTCTTGTATCCATTTTTCGTGTCTCTCGCCCCTCTATCCCCACTCTCTCTCCTGCTAGTCCCTGACCTGCGGACTGGAGCAGCAGAACGGACTGTTACAAAGTAGCAGAACGAGCCGTTACACACACACACACACACACACACACACACACACACACACACACACTTTATACATAGGGAGGTTTTGCCTGCCTACACCCTGACTGTGCCTGGCCCTCATGGAGACTAGAAGAGTGTCAAATGCCATGCAACTGGAGTTACAGGTAATTGTGAGCAAAGATGTAGGTATTGGGAACAGAACCTAGATCCTCTACCAGAGAAGCAAGGGCTCTTAATGGCAGAGGCATCTCTCCAGCCTGTTTTATTCATTTTAAAGATTTATTTAGTTTATGTATGTAAGTACACCATGGCTCTCTTCAGACACACCAGAACAGGACATTGGGACCCATTACAGATGTTTGTGAGCCACCATGTGGTTGCTGGGAATTGAACTTGGAACCTCTGGAAGAACCTCTGAATCATCTCTGTAGCCCCTGTTTTATTCTTTTTTTTTTTAAAAAGACAGTTTCACTAGACCAGGTTGAACTCAAACTCACGATATTTGTGTCTCAGCCCCCAGAGTGCTGGGATTATAGGCATGTGTTACCACTAGTCTAGTTTATTAGAATCTTGTGGTGCTGTATGTTTGTGTGTATACCCAGAGACCAAAAGACCACCTTGGGTATCATTCCTCAGAAGCCATCCAGACAACACACCCTCACATACACACCGAAATAGAGGTTCTCACTATCCTGCAACTTATGAACTAGGCTAGGCTGCTGGCCAATAAGCCCCAGAGACCACCTGTCAGTATCTGTCCAGTGCTAGGATTTCAAGTGCACGTTCTCATTCCCCCCTCCCCTAGCACCCTCAGTCAGGGTTTCATTATGTAGCCCTGGCTAGTCTTGAATTTACTAGAACAGGCTGGTCTACCACATCTGTCACCTTGCCCACCATGGATGCCACACACCATTTATTTTTTTTCTTTTTTTGGGCAGTTCCATGGGCTCTGGGAATCAAACATAGTTCCTTATATTTTCAAAGCCAAACCTTTACTGACTGAATTATCTCCCTAGTCCCGGTTTGGTAGACTCTGACTCATGTTTTTCAGTATGGGGTTCAGGCTTTACACCGGAGAACTGGAAGAGGAACCCTCAACTCTTCATTCGGACTCAAGATTCGTCTTTGTAAATGAGATTTTGTTTTCTTTTAAAGAATGTTGGGGGTAGAAGGGTTTAGTTGACCTTGAACTGTTTTATTCCTTTGAGTGTTGTTTCTGGTACACTGGACCACTTGTCAACCAAACTCGAGTCTTTCTTGCTTTTTTTTTTTTTTCATTTTTCTTAATCTTGTTCTTTTAGGGGAGTAGAGGGTGGTGAGGACACAGTTGTTAACTCCAGATGCTGTGAATCCATGCATTATTTAGGTATGGATGGTACTTTGAGTGGGGACATTATTCTAGCAACAGTTTAGGATTTAGAAAAATCAATTATTGAAACTTGAAATTAAACTCTACAAGCAGCATAGTATTAGGACTAGAACATTTCCTACTTTTCACTGGAATAACACACCCAGAGAACTGAAGAAGGATTCCTTAGCATCTTATTCCAGCCTCGAGATTCAATGAGCACATTAGCAGAATGTAGGTTTTTGTTTTTGTGTTTGTAGACTCTGTTTCTCCCTTGTAACCCTGTCTGTCCTGGAACTCACTCTGTAGGCCAGGCTGGCCTTGAACTCAGAGATCCTCCTGTCTTTGCCTCTAGTGCTGGGACTAAAGTTGTGTACCACCACTGCCTGGCAGAATGTAGCTTTTTAAAAAATGGCTCCATATGTATGTGGTGCTGGAGATAGAACCCAATTCTCATTCCCAGATTTTTTATATCATGTTGGACAGTTTTGCTGGTCACCATCATTGCAAGGCAAATTCAAGTTCTATGACATGGGAGCCTTCTATGAATAAAAACAGAAGTAGAGGATTCATGGTATACATGACATGACACTAGCTTTTGGAGCCTGGAGATTGTCTCTAACGATCATGAGTGTGATGCTGTCCTGACAGGACCTCAGGCAGCTTCTATCAGCCCAATGAGCTGCATCCAAGATGAACCTCTCTGTCATCCATCCTCTAAAGGAAATCAGGATGACATATCAGTCAACTCTCTCACTGTGATCTATGTTTTCAGGATGAGTTGAAACTCCAACACAAACCTCACACCTCTTATTTCCCTTCATGGATCAGACATCTCTGAAGACATTAGAGGTGATGTCCCCAGGTAGGTTTTCCACATCCTGGGTCTTCCAGGTAGTTCAGGTGCAAGATTAGTCACGACTCCAAGCCAGCCAAAATAATTAAGAAAGCTAAATTTATATTAAATTATCATAAAGCCCTAAAATACTGAACATAGTGGTTAAATAACTCCAGAAAGTCCAATCTCTTCAGTGAGTAATGTTAAAATCATTACACATGAGCATGGGAAAATCACTTCCATTAGTTTAGGACAGAGAGATTTTGCCCTTTTTACAGAGTAAATCAGTGCTCAAATAGATATTTCCTCAAATGCGTCCTTTCTACATTCTGAACAGCCCAAGTGCAATAAGAACCTTGCCCCTGTCCACTCAGGACACCATGTTTCTGTTTACTTCTTCGTCCCTAACTATGGATTTAAAGGCTCAAATGCTGCCCCTTTCTGTGTGAAATGTCTGTCTTTCCTCTTAGAAGTGGCACTGTACTTTTCTCAGTTGGTGTACTGGAAACGGCCTTTGGCCTGCCCTGGCTGTATGTGTAGACACAGATCTGGGCCTAGCTAATGACAATGAGACTAATGGTTTGACATCTGTCTCCTACTCTTAATAACTGACCAGAAAAGATTTGATCTTGTCCTGTTTTTCATGCATATGCCTGGCTGTTGGTCTCTGAATAACAATAACCATGAAAAAGATGTTTTAAGTCAGGAAACTTCCTCTAAAAGCCCTCCCCTCCATTCTCAGCTCCTGTCAATCTCTCCTGTGCTTTAGTTTCTGTGGAGAAGTGCCTGGACTTGCTCTCACCACCTCTCCACTCCTTGCTCACCACTTGGCATCTTCATTGACCTCCTCGTCACTGGACATTGGAGACTGAGGTGATGCAGGATTGGTTAGGGAAAGCAAGCCTAGACTTCCCTCTCTCAGAAGTGAAACACAAGGAGGAAATTCTAGCGTAGCACAAAAAAAAAAAAAAAAATCTCAGCTCCCCTGAGAGAAGCCCTCGGCCTAAAGAAGCAGGAAGCTAATGGTGGTACCTTAGTGTGGACAGGGTGCGAGAAGAGTTGGCACATGACCTTAACCACCCTAGAGACACAGGCTGTGTCTGTGAACTTGGGTCCCTGAGCACCTGAGAATGAACTCAAGAGGTTCAACCTCACAATACTTCTCCTGAGCCCTCGAGTGTCCTATGTCTCTCTAGTTGCTCTTCCTAACCATTTAGGAAAACATCTAGTCATCCTTTGAAAGCTCTCTGGGCCCACCCAATGGTCACTCAAGCTCACAGCATAGTTAAAAGCTTAAGAAAAGTATTGGCCAGTAGCAGCACCAGGAGGGAATTCCTATTAGCAAGTTGCCATGACAGGGGCCTCCAGTTATTCAAGGTAGAAATGGCCCCAGACATTCTAGCAGGAGGAAGAGGAGCTTAAGCCATACCCACACTTCACCTGTATCACAACTGACAAAGCAGTGACTCCTGGGTGAGAAGAATGTCCACTGCCAGCAATGGACAAGATCCCAGGGCTCAAGTGCCATTCCCCCATCCCCACCCTCGCAAAGGTTTTTCATAATTACCAACACTTGAGGCTGGAGGTTTCCCAAATACCCAGACCAGCTGGGCTGCTTCTTCCTTCTCTCAACCTCTAGCCATTACCTTTACCTGTGACCTCCAGTCCCAGCCCCTGGTAGGCCAGTTCACAAAGAGGTCATCATGTCAGCTGGGGTGGGGAAGACCAAAGTCTTGTATCATCAATTGCATTGGTGCTGTGGGGCAGGCACATAAGGTGCCAGAGCAAAGGGAGGTGGAGCTCTGAGCTGACAAGGAATCATGCTGAGCCCAGCTTCAGGGGGCCCAGGATAGAGTGCAAGAGGTGAAGTTCTTGGTAAAATCCAGGTCTAAATTCTTGAGATGTGCCCTCGCTTCTTGTCCCCAGATAGTTTTGGACTCAGGTGAGTAACAGGTTCTATGCGGGCTTGGAAACACTTTGGGGTGTGGGGAAGAAGATGAGCACATGGGAAACGGCCCTAGTTGTTATGTGGGCACAAGGATCAGAAGTCCACAGAGGAGAATGAACAGGCAGGCAGGGAAGAGAATGTGGGCACTTAGACCTGGCTTTCTGAGGAGAGCTTGCGTTCATGTTTCCAGCCTGTGTCTGGCAGCGAGCCCCGCCTCTCTGGAGTGGCTGTAGTGTGAACACTGCTACACTCTGACTGCTCTTCCTGCAGCAGCTGCTCTGTCTCCGTGTCATCTAGGGAGCCAGAGCTGGCCTGGATGGACACTGTGTCTGTCTTCATGCATACATGATCCCGTAGAAGGCCCCCCCTGGAGCTGCGCAGTTGCTTGAGGTCACCCCATTCAGCGTCATCCCCAGCCAGGAGGCGAATTCCCTCTACAATCTTGATCTTCTCCTTGGTGTAGCTGTGGTCAGGTCCACCCTGGGGTAGAAAATGGAGACACATAGTCAGTTGGCATTCTATAAAGGATCTCGTGGTGAGCTGAAAATGAAGTGGTAGGGAGGACAGAACCCCCACAGACTGCTAGACCAATGTGGACAAGGCAAATATGAGGGGCCACCTAAGGGCAACTGCAATTAGATAATTACATCATCACAGAGGAGAGGAAAAACCATGGCTTATGGTCCTACACCAGCCATTTACTGGCTATTTTATCCTGAGCAAATGACTTAACACTTCTAAAACCCAGTCTTCCCATCTGCAGTATAGGAGAACAACAGCATCTACAAGTTACCCCAGTTGTTGTAAGAGTTAAGTGAGGCAATTCATGGGGTGCAACTGTTAGAGCATGGGACACAGGAAACGTTAAAACACACTAGCTGTGTGTTATATCACTGTCATAGGTTATTAATGGGACATCATGCTGATACAAGAAATCCAAAGCAATCTAGTATGCATTTACATCATGTGTAGTCTGTTACATCATCCCTGTGGTTTATTAATGGGACGTCATGCAGATATAAGTAATCAAAAACAACTGGCAGAAGCAATTCAGTGTGTGTGTATTCAAAATTTTTATGTGCTAGTTTGCTTTCAATGATCCTTTTGATTGTGATAAGAAAATTTGGGAGGTAACATTTTGGGAGTGAGGCTTGGGAAATCATTGTATTTGTGTGTTTTTTTTTTTACAGTTTTTTTTATTATTTTTAATATTTTATGTGAGTACACTGTCACCGTCCTCAGACACACCAGAAGAAAGCAATGGATCCCATTACTGATGGTTGTGAGCCACCATGTGGTTGCTGGGAATTGAACTCAGGAAGAGTAGTCAGTGCTCTTAGCCACTGAGCCATCTCTCAGGCCCTGTATTTGTGTTCTTAATGAGCCTGTAATCCGTAACTCTTTAGGGAAGGATACTCTGTCCATGAAGAGCATCCCTGAGTGATCTGCATCACTCCAAGAATAGCTTTAACTTTGGCTTAAGTGTCCTCCTTCATGTGCTCTTCAAGGGCAGCCTCATTCCATGCTGGTGGGATGCTCCCGTTGTTATCCTGCCACCACTAGGAGCAAAAGAGGCATCGTAGCTTGGGTTCTGTCCCTGAGGTAGTCTCCTCACTCAGAGTCTCAACCGTTGCTTTCTGTTAGTAACAGTTCCATTCCACAGACAGTTATTAAGGCCCCATGTTAAACAGATGCTATGCTAGGCTCTTCTTGATGGGCTCTGCCTTCAAAGAGTCCTTCAATCACACAGAGACATAGAGGTAGTTTAGAAGCACACATACAGACTCCCATTCACCCAGCAACCCTCCGAGCAGATGTGAGTTTGAGATAACATGCAGGCCCATTGAGAGTCCTCATCACAGAAATGCACTGGGTAAGTTGTGGAGATGCAGGGTACAGGGCCAAGGTAGTTCTGGAAACACCACTTTCTCTACACACACAGAGCAACAGGTACCTGAACTCAAGAGGAAATCAGAAGAGAAAGGGTGAAAGGCTATCAGAGGGATGGAAGAGTTGCTGAGGAAGAAGAAGAAAACAAAAGAAAGAGGTCAAACGGTTTTCCTTTTTTCTTTTGGCTTAGTGGGGTTGGATCCAGGGACTTGCACAGGCTGCACATGTGCTGAACTGTAGAGTCATGTCTTCAGACCTATTTTTCAGTTCTAATGGATAGCCTTCACTGTGATTCTTTTCTGGGACACCCCACATTCTAGGAACTGAAGAATTCTCAAGAGTCTTTCTCAGAAATAGAGAGGGTTCCCATTCCCAGGACTGTAGGTAGTCTTGTGAATTATAGTGGCAGCTTTTTTAAATACAGGAATCCCTCAATCTAGAAAAGTATAGTTTTACTGTGGAGAGTGAGGGTCCTGCTCAATTGACTGCTAACAGTCAGAGCAGGCTGAGTCTTTTTAGGGAATAACTCTATGAAGGTTATAGGATTTTAGAAGAAACCAGGTTCTACCGATTAGGAAACTCTGACACCTCAGACCTCAGATCCCCTGTGGAAAGATGACTATTTTTCATGCCTGAATATTCAGTAAAGAATTTTGTCCTGACTTAACAAAACGTTTTAAAAATAATAAAAACACGTTCAGGTTTCTAGAAAAATCTTTTAAAACCTTGAGAACAAAGATAAAGAAAACCTAGCCATTCCCAACAATAGGTACTATTTTGCCAATTCAGAGATTAGAGAAAGAGTCCAAGAGCTCTTGGTTTTGCAGGTATTGTCCCAAAGAGCCCCCTTGCTTCAGAGGGGTACAGCATAGAGGAATAAAAACCCCTAGCACGAAAGCATCCATAAACCTGGACAATCTACTGGGAAATAGACACTTACTGCTTTCAGACCTGAAACTTCTAGCCTTGCTTTTACCAGTGTCCTCCAAAGATTCTAGATCTCTGCAGAAATCCAAACTACACTCAGTTTTCTGTTCACTATTGTCTCCAAAATGGGAGAAGGGACACCACATGGCCCCTACTCATCCACTCAGGCAATTTGGTCATACTTCCTCTCACCCTTTCCCCAAACCCCAGAAAGACCTAAATAAAACTTTCTATTGTTATGTTACCTCTTTCTTGTAGCACAGCTGATTATACATGGCTGGCTTGGGAGCTGCTTCAATCTTCACTTCCTGAGTGGAAGTCCGGTAGGAGGGGTTGCTATAGGTCAGGTTTCCCATTCCAGGATCCGTGAATTTGGATTTTCTGTGTCTTCAAGAGGAAAAATTGGCTGAAATCAGTTGAGAACTTTATAGGTATGATACTGGGGTGGGGGAGGGGAGGAGAACAGGGGGAGAGATATAACTTGTGTGTGGGAAGCAGCTTCTCTGTAGGTCCCCGTGACCTTGCCTACTAGCACCCACACTCTTACAAGTCCCAGCCCTTGAGTGTGGGCCGGAGCTGGTGACTCACTTCTAGTGAACCTATTATGCAAAAGTATTAAAGACTAGATGAGATTCCATCTTGAGTGGTGCATCCTTCCTCCCTCTCTTTAAAGGGAGCAAACAGCCATGTCGAGTTGACTTATAGAAAGATCCACAGGCAAGCAACAGATGATGGAGACCTCCAACCAACAGCCAGTAAAGAAATGAAACCTGCCAACAATAATTATTCCAGTACCTTTGGAAGGATTTTTTTTTCCCAGTCTAGCCTTGAGATGAGGTCATAACTCTGGCTGTCACCCAGATTACAACCTGCAAGAGACTTCTAAGCTGAGCACACAGTAAAGCTATATCCAGATTTCTGAGCCACAGGAACTCATTACCTTTTAGGTTACTTGTTATGGAGGAGATGGACCTTTGTTCTAATCCCACCTCTGTGATTTATTAGCCAGAATATTGGTAGACATAATCTAATCCCTCTGAAGTTCAGACCCCATTACTGGGTGTGCTGGCTAGGTTTATAAAACAAGCTATGGTCATCAGAGAGGAGGGAACCTTAATTGAGAAAGTGAATCTATAGCGGTGGTTCTCAACCTATAGATCACAACTCCTTGTGGTGGGTCATATGTCAGAGATCCTGCATATCAGATATTTATATTAAGATTCGTAACAGAAACAATAGCAAAACTGCAGTTATGAAATAGCAACAAAGGAACTGCATTAAAAGGTTGCAGCAAAAGAAAGGTTGAGAACCACTAGTCTATAGGATTGGTGTGTAATCACTAATCATTAATTAGTGATTGATATAGGAGGGCCCAGCCTACTGTGGGTCTGGTTTTTATAGAAAGTATGCTGAAAGCTGGATGTGGTGGCATATATCTTTAATCCTGGCATTCAGGAGGCAGAGACAGATGGATCCCTGAATTTGAGGCCAACCTGCTCTACAGAGAGTTCTAGGACAGCCAGGGCTACACAGAGAAACCTTGTATCAAAAAAATAAAATAAAAAAACAAGCAGAAAGAAAGACTTAGCATGCCATGAAGAGCAAGCCAGTAAGCAGCACCCCTCCATAGCCTCTGCACTGGTTCCTGCCTCTAGGTTCCTACCCTGACTTCCTTTGATGATGACAGTAATGTAGAATCAAAAATAAACCCTTTCCTCCCCAAGTTTTTGATCATGGTGTTTCATTAAAGCAAGAAACTCTAAGATACCAGGCTAGGGCATTTATACTTTCCCATTAAAAGACAAGTGATATCATTATTATTATTATTAATTTATTTTCAGATATTTTTTGTTGTTTGCAATGTTTAAAGTACTGGAAAGAAAATGGCAATTAAAAAGACCCTAAATTGAAATGACACATTGTGTCTTCCCAAAGTGATTTCTAGGGAGCAATGCTGTGCCAGCCATGTTGAGGTAAATGGTTGTGTTGGTGTGACGGGAAGACCATTTCTCATTCCAATGGTTTGAGGAAGAAGGAGGTATGGAAAAGGTCAGCCATCCAATAAGGAAACTGCTGAGGTTAGACAGAAGAGCTATTATGTTTCCACTCTCTCCTTTTGCTACCCCAGCCAGGGGCCCAGAGGTGAAACTAGGCTGTGTGCAAGTATATTCAGCAAACTGTGAAGCTTCAAGAGAACCCAGATAAGCTAACAGGGACCAAAGAACATGTCATTCCTGGAGCAGAGCTGAGGTTACCTGTATAGCATCAAAGCTGCAATAACCAACAAAATCAGCAGGATACTGAGAAGTCCACCGATGGCATAGCTGACGTGCAGTCCTTCACCTAGGAGACGGGAGGAACACCAAGCAAGGACTAAGGACCACTTTCTGGCTAAGTGGTGACTCTTAGGATTATTATTTCTGTGGATTTAGTCAATGAAAAGAGTTTGCCAACCCTATAAGACTCCTCACAAGAACTAGGAAAGAAATAAGTGGAGACTTAAGTCCATATAAAGCCATATAAAATGGTGATGTATTCATATCTTACTCTCAGCACTTGGGAGACAAGGAACAGGAAATTGAAGAGTTTGAGGCCGGTGTGGCCTATGTGCTAATTAATAGCCTGTTTCAAGAACAGATAAAGAGTCTTCTTTTCTACAACAGTTCTATTCTTAGGACCTACCTGGAGCAGCAGGTATAGCTTCATTGGAATGTGCACAGAGCCCCAGCTGGGCATCCCTTTCAGAGCATCTGTGGGGCATGAAAAAGAGACATCAGGAGGAAAAGCCTTCAGGAGGAAAGGGCTGTGAATAGTGCTTTCACACCTGAAAGACTCTATCAAGGGGTCAGGGAGCTAGGCAGCGTTCTAAGGACACCAATTCAAATCTTCCTTCTACTACAAGAATGAATGGGAAGCAGCTGCAAACCACACAAATCTGATTGGTTAGCACAAGGTTAAAAAAGTGTTTTTCCTCCCTCCGTTCTTTCACAAGGGACTAAGCAAGACACCCAGAGGGAGAGCGCAGCTGGTGCACTTGCAATGCTCAGAAGGTAGCTCTGGCATATTATAGCAAGCAATAGGAGGTGCCTCCCAACAGTCTGGAGAAAAGCCATAGACAGCAGAAGAGCATTTGAAACCAAGAAACCAGGAATTGTAACTAGAACTTCTTTGGGAAAGGTCTGAAAAGTGGGCATGGTGAACTTGGAGGACCCTGAGTGAGGACACCCTAAGCTACATAGTGTCCCTATTTGAAAAAATAAATTTCAGGTAGAGTTCTGAGATGTGGGGTGGGTAGGATCAGTGCATATGTTATGAATTTGTCAAAGAATAAGTAAAAAATGAAGTGCTGATTATGATTGCTACTTTTGTTTCTTCAACTGTAGGACACAAGCACATGAAAATGTCATATTAACTAGGAAAAAGAATAGAGGAGACTTTTTTCTTTTAGCACCTATGTTCTGCTTAGTTTATGTGGGTTTTTTTTTAACTATATTCCAGCTAACATACTTAAATAGTCAAAACATGCATTACCACAGGCTATAAAGAACTAGCAGGGGGCTGAATTCTATGAGCATTAAAAACAAACAAACAAACAAACCCAGAGGAACCAAGGAGATGATTCACTGGGTAAAGTTCTTGCCAAGAAAACCTGAGGATCTGGATTCGGAGCCCCAGCCCCCACATGAAAAGCTGGTTGCAGCAGCAAACACCTGTAATCCCTATGCTGGAGAGGCAGAGACAGGAGGAGGAGTCACAGAACTTGCTGGCTCGTCAGCCTAGACAATTGGCGAGCTCTAAGGTTAGGGAGAGATTGTGTCTCAAAAAAAACAACATGGTGGTGGCGCACGACTTTAATCCCAGCGCTTGGGAGGCAGAGGCAGGTGGATTTCTGAGTTCGAGGCCAGCCTGGTCTACAGAGTGAGTTCCAGGACAGCTAGGGCTATACAGAGAAACCCTGTCTCAAAACAAACAAACAAACAAACAAACAAAAAAACCCAAAAAAACCATGGGAAACAATTGAGGAAGACACTTCACACTGAGCTCTGGCTGCCACATGCACATAGGAATGTGTATGTACACACCCAGGAAAAAATGTCTGAGGACATTTGTTTCCCAAATAAAACTAGGGACTAGGAGCACAGCTCAGCAGTAGATTGTTTGCCTCCCGTGTGTGGAGTTCACACTTCAGCACTGTGAAAACAACAAAAGTTCTGAGGAAAATCTAAGATTAAAGACAATAGCTAACATTTCAAAGTTAGTCAGAAAGGCACAGGTTCACACTTGGGTGTTTGTTTTCTTTACAAGCTACACAAAATGCAGAGTCCAGAGCCCATAGCACTTGAGTGTGACCATGTGCAAATCTTGGCACTTTGGAGATTCTGAGCATAGAGTACTTATTTTGGAGTCATTATTTCTGCTTTCAGCTTAATGACCTTGTAAACTATACTTGCCAGTGCATCAAATTTAATGAAATATATCTTATGCTTGCTTTGAAGACTATATATGATTACATTTGCTTATTTGATAATGGTATGTGTATGTGTTTGTGTGTATATTGTGTGCACATGCATATATGTGTATTTTATTTGAGTGCTGGGATCATTATAAGCTAAGGCTATCACACTTAAGTTATAAAGTTATAAAGCAGATACTAGTGTTGTATTAAATATTTAATCTCAATCAGGGGTTTCTACTAGGACAAAACCCTAATACTATACTGGTGACATGAGAGCAAAGGAAGATGGATAGATTGAATGCAGGAAGGAGCCTCCTCCCTAGTGATTTCTCTAGAAAGCTGTTTTTAAGCTTCTTGCTCTCAGAAATGAAAAGAGCGTCAGGGTCCAGGAGATGGTTCAGTGAGTAAGAGTACTTGCTATGCAAGCCAGAAGACCCAAGTTCGGATCTCCAGCACCCATGTAAAATGCTGGGCATGGCTGCACATGCCTATAACCCTACCAATGGGGGGCATAGACAGGAGAATCACTGGGCACCAGACTAGTCAAAAATACAGTGAGCTCCAGGTTCAGTGAGAGACCCTGACTAAGAGAATAGAAATAGAGGATACCTGTTATCCTCCTCTGTCTTCTACATGTAGTGTGTGTGTGTGTGCTCTTGAGTACACACACACACACACACACACACACACACACACTTTAAAAAAGTAAAAGGGATTCATTTGGAGCAATGTACATTTAAAAATCCCTCCGTGTCCCACATAATAGGGACTGGTGGTTAATGATGTGACGTTTCTCCCATCTGCCATATTATGAAGTTGGGACAATGCTTTTGTACAAGTAGGGTATGGTGATCTGAAACCAGACTTCAATCTTGTATTGACCCTACTTACCTTCCTTCTGCCCCCTCCAGAGATGTGCGGGTCCTGGTGGTAGAAGAATGTAAGGTGGTGGGCAACGTGTTGGGTAGCACTGGGCTCTTTTCATTCATGCTGGTAGCTCTGGGAGCAGGAGGCACAAGGCCAGGTACTGGGGAGAAAAGAGGATTGAAATGGACTGCTAGAAACCTATATGTGGTTCAAGGGTAGCAGCTAGAAGTCCTGACAGAATCTTTCAGATGCTCTAACCTCTGGTACTCTCATTTATTGCTATAAATTTAAATGGGATTTGGATTTACCATTAGTGATTCTAGAAAAAATTGCTGGCACACAAATATTAGGAACAGAGATGATGATCTAGTGATCCCCAGCAAGACATCGGGAGTCTAGACTTATGTTCTAAGAAATGCCAGAGGCTAGACAAAGCCAGGCCCGAGCATCATGAAGCCCAAGTATACTGTTCATTTCCATTATGCCACTATGATGTCCCCTAAAAGCACACCGTTGAGGTTGCCAGCCCCTCCCTTCTCAAGGGCTCTGTTGTCTCAAGAAGCTAATCTATCCAACTCACCAAGGGAGCAGGGATGACTGTCTGGCTCATCGGGACAGGCACACACAAAGTCAGAGGCTCTGGCAAAGCACAGGTGGGTACAGCCACCATTGTTCACACCACAGGCATTGGTCCCTGGAGGCAAAGCAGAGGTGTCTGGTCTAAGACAGAATAGGGTCTCCCAGTCTCACACTTCTCAAAAGGGAGGAAATCTGGGGCTATCCCAGGACAATAGGGCAGGAAGGGATGATCACAAAGGAGCAAAGGTCTAAAAACATTGAAACACGAGCCCAAAGGTTTTCTTTATGGCTCTAATTATGTTGGTCACTAACATCCCTTGGGATGACCAGAGCCAGTCCCTTTTCCTCAACTGTGAGGAAAGGGGCTCAGTTCCTAATGGCTCACCTGTCTGCCGCTGAGGGGACACCACAATGATATCCATCAGTCCCTCCACATTGGCCAGCACTGTCTCCTTGTTGCGGCCTGAGTACTTGTCAACACGCTGGATGGATTTGGTCTGCCAGTCTGTCCAGTAGATCCACCTGTCTTGCTACTCGATAAGAAATCCAAAAGAAGTATTCAGCAGTCAGACCTCAGTGCCACTTCTGTGCCTCAGTGTGTGCTATCCCACTGCTGAAATGCCTTCTGTGACTGATTTTCTAAATGAATGCTATGCACCCCCAGATAGCACTCAGGAAATCACTCCAGACTCAGAGCACATCAATGAACTTCTCCATGTTGTTCTGCACCACGCAGCTACTTACACATGCAGTTTTGAAACCCGGTAGTAACTTGTTTGTATTTCTATCCATTCTGCCCTACTCTTACTTGTTGTCATTGTCATTGTTTTGTTTGATTGATTGTTTATATTCTTTGTTTTTGTTTATTGAGCTCTCATGTAGCCTAGACTGGTCTTGAATTTACTATGTAGTTGAGAGTGGTTCTGAACTCCTAGTGATAGAATTGTAGACACACCTCACAATGCCTAGCTATTTTTTAATTTATTTATTTATTTTGAAACAGTCTTGCTATGTAGCCCAAGTTAGCCTGGAACTTACTGTGTAGCTCAGGTAGGCCTCACACTCAATAACCTATTGCCTCTTCCTCCTAAGTGCTAGAGTTACAGCCACATGCCTCCAGTGGCTGTGATACACTACAGATTTTTTTTCCTCTTTTGTGGGAGAGGTTGCAAGAGTAGAGGGCAGGTACGAGGAGATGGGGAGACGAGTGGGATTGGGGTGCATGAAGTGAAATTCACAAAGAGCCAATAAAGTTTTTAAAAATTAAAATTTTAAATAAATAATAATAATAATAATAATAATAATAAAAATGAATGTGCAGGCTGGAGAGATGGCTCAGCTGTTAAGAGCACTAGCTGTTCTTCCAAGCTCCCAAGTTCAAATCCCAGCAACCACATGGTGGCTCACAGCGATCTGTAATGGGGTCTGCTGCCCTCTTCTGGTGGGTCTGAAGACAGCTACAGTATATTCATATACATAAAATAAATAAATATTTTTAAGAAATAAAATAAAATAAAAAGGATGTGCTTGGTTCATCTCCAAGTCTGCAGCACCCACAGTCAGTCCTCAGTCAAATGAGCGAATAACTCACTACCCAGCAAATAGGAATCCAGAATTCATTTCAGCCTTTGCTGTATGGGTCTTTTTGTTCAAACTCCTGACTCAAACCCTCTGCTCATTTACATGGACAGCTTTCTGACAATGCACTGGACGTGACGTTCTCAGCCAAGGGTGAGAGAGGAAATGGAAGTACTATTCTCTTTCCCCTCAGTGGTAGAATGTTAGAAATTCTGGAAGACATTTACATTTGTAGATTGAGAAAATATATTCAGTGTTAGCCTATTGCCAGGTAAATTCAGACAAACCCTTTTTGGTGGGTAAACATCAAATACACAGTACAGGGTTGGGGATGTAGTTTTGTGTCAGAGTGCTACAGGTACAATCCCCAGCATTAAAAAAAAAAAAAAGATGTTTGTCAAGCATGGAGAACTTTTAAGTGTCTGAGAATCTGTTTTAAACTCAGTGTTCATTATATTATCCCAACTTCTTTTCTTTTTCTCTTCTTTTCTTTTTCCTCTCTCTCTCTCTCTCTCTCTCTCTCTCTCTCTCTCTCTCTCTCTCTCTGAGATATGGTCTCATATAGGCTAGTATCAAACTAGCTATGTAGTTGAGGATAGCCTTGAATCCTTCTGCCTCTACCTCCTAATTGCTGGAATTACAACCATGTGCCACCACATAGTTCCTCAGGTTACCTGTTGTGTTGAACTATCCCAAATAAGGCTAAGAATAATTGAACTAGTTCCATGTGATGGGTAGTTAATCTCTGTTTTGATTTGAGACAGAGTCTTATTAAGGATTCTCTGCTAGCACAGACCAGCTTGACTTTGAACTCAGTGATCCATAAGTCACCTCACCCAACTTGATGGTTAATTGTGATTGTTAAACTGATGGGATTTAGATCATCATGGAAACAAACTTCAAGGCATGCCAGCGAGGTTGCTAGAGTAAGTTAATTACGGTGGGAAGACTCACTCTAACTGTGAGCAGACGGGGGTCTTGGGCTGGATAAAAGGAGAGAGGTAGCCGGGCACAGCACCCACCAATGTTTGTCTCCCGACGACAGGTACACTGTGAACGGCTGCCTCCTGCTCCTGCCATCATGTCTTCCCTGTTATGATGGACTGAATCTTTGAACTGTGAGCCAGAATAAACGTGGGTGCCAAGGCCTGCGCATCTAGCTAGTCGGAGCCCTGGTCAGAGCCAAGGAGCCGGGAACGAGCAGGACTGGGCCCTGTTTTCTAAATATCATCCCTACAAAACTTCCTTAATTTGTTCTTGTCAGTAAGCAATTAATACAGTGCATCTAGTGTTTACAGAATGCCACGTCCCAGGCTGACACTAGTGCATACTTCAAGTGGATGCTATTATTAAACCAACTTGTTTTATAGGTAACTACAGCCTACAGACGTTCTGTGTCCTGTTAGTTACCAAGGTAGGCTTCAGGCTCATTGTGAAGGCATGCAAACACCAAATAGCTGGCCACCTCAAACCTCTCGCCTTTAGCCACTCTGACCAACTTTAACTAAGTTAGCTAAAAGCACAGCAGTAGATTCAAATGAGGAACTTATCAAAATTCCATGTTCCTGGGCTCAGTCATCACAAAGCAACTTCTCTATGGCCAAGGCCCTGGCACTTATGTTCTAACAAGCTCCATAACCTCTGTTTGAGAGCCAGGCCTAATAGAACTTAGAAGTGCTGAGCCAGGATAGCAGAGTACTTAGTGGCTTAGAATCCCCAGGAAACACCCTAGTCAGGGAGGTCTAGTTACCTCTCTCCTGAGCCAGTACCTGTGTGAGGGCAAAGGGGTGGGATACGTGGCTGACCAAGACCTGCCTCAGCTTCCCATTGAGGTCAGCACTCTCGATCCGATCCAGGTGTGCATCTACCCAGTAGATCCTGCCAAGAGAAAGAGAAGGAGAACAGATGGTTCTTCCCCATAAGGAACTTCCTGTTCCTCCCGAGCTGAACTGGCAGGTGCCGGGCAGTCAGGAAACACTCCTGATGAGGGGACTTCATGAGCCCTACAGCTAAAGAATGAAATGTAACTCATTATCAGGGAGGTGGAGCTGCTCTGTGGAGACACAGAGAACCTAAGACCACCCACAGCCTTTTCCTTCACAACTTGATCACCCTTTGGATCCTATCCAGAAATCTAAGCCCAAAGTTTTATAAATGGTCTTCAGAACGGGCTCAGGTCATGTGGATTTAACCAAGGTTAAAAGAAGAGGTCTCCCTACCAACTCTCCAGGTGACCTGACCTAAATTCTTTTCCCCTTGGGGGGGGAGGGGAAAGTCACCCTCCTTTCCCATTTATTTTTTTCCTAATCTAGAGGAGAAATTGCTTAATCCCAGCAACTATTGTTTCCACAGGTAAACCTCAAATCTAAGACCCTAAATGATGTGGAAAATAGGACACGTTCTGTCTACTAATGGTCCTCAGAACTTGTAACCCAAAGAGACCAAAGCCAGCTGAAGGCCCAGGGCTGGATTCAGCAAGCCCCGTGCTGACTTATCCTTCTCGTTGTTTCCTCTTCCTTGTCTGTCCAGGGGTTTTTCATCTTCCCCCCCCCCCCCCGTCAATCTGTGTCCTCTCCCTGGCCCACCCTCCATTTCCAGGAGGCTGTTTGGGACAGGGTCCTCACCTGCGAGTATCGTAGTCCAAGGTAAGGCCATTGGGCCAGCCTAGGTCTGTGTTGATGAGGACCTTCCTCTCAGAACCATCCAGGTTTGCCCGTTCAATTTTGGCAATGTGGCCCCAGTCTGTCCAGAAGAGGTACCTAAGATACAATAGCGCCACTGTCACAAAGCATGAGGAGATGGTGCGAAGAAGTTGGCAGAATATAGTACCTACACCAATCCAATAATCTATAAGCACCTTCTGGGAGCTGCTTTTCTACCACTCCCTTCTAGCCCGGATCTCTTTCCCGCTAGACTTGAACTTACCCCTTTCTAGGGAAAACAGCAATGGCCCGGGGCTCGTCTAGACTGTTGTTGATTAGCACTTTGCGACTGGAACCATCTAGCCGAGATGCTTCGATGGTATTTCGGCCTGTATCTGTCCAGTACAGGTTTCTGGCAACCCAGTCCACTGCCAGCCCATCAGTGGTCTTCAGCCCATGCCCAATAACAGTCTCCATATTGCTGCCATTCAGGTCTGCTCTCCTTGGGGACAATGCAAGGTTGTTTGAGTAACCAGACTATCCAGAAACCATACCCTGAATCTCACTATAAGTTCTATAGAGACAGATACAGTATGTTCCTCAGTACCCGGCATGGTAGGTGCTCAATACAGGCAGAATGAATGAGAGAGTGAATTCTTAAGAGTGTTTCCTGCAAAGTGAAAGTAGCAGAGGGTTTGGATACAAGTCATGCCATAGGACAAATTAAATTATTCTTAATATATCCTGTGAGGACACAAAGATTGCTACCTGGGGTGACTCTGAAACAGGTAGATTGGGTCTGAGAGTGTAGTTCAGTGGTAGAACACTGGCCCTGTTCAGTCTCTAGAACAATGGAAAGTAAAGATTCAAAGGAAAGGTTTGCTAAAACCAATCTGTGCTTTTAAACAGAGACTAATGCATCAGGGACAAGGATCACATCATAGTCACCTGGGGAATTTCTCTAAATTGTACACACCACATGAGATCTGAATACACCCTCAGAAGAACAAAGGCAAAGATTTCTATATGCCATCTAAGCATTTCTGCTATGGTGAGTTTCTTGTATTGGCATGACATCATATTCTTGAGTTGTGTTGAAATAAGAAATATAAAGAACAATAAAAATAATAGCAAAAAAAGTCACTCAAAATATACTGGTTAAACATTAAAACTTAATGTTGGGCTAAGGTTCCTATACTGCAATATAGATTCCAACTTTTCACCAGCCTGCCTTAGAGGATTCTTAGAGTAACCTCAGGACCTAATACTAAGTGTGGAAGCTCTAGGTTCCCATCTTGGCATCATATTTGTTTGTTTAATATACCATGTTTCTGGGATATATAAGTATCACATATATATATTTTTGAGATGGAGTCTCATACAGCCTAGGCCTTGAGCTAGCTCAATATATAGCCAAAGATGGCCTTGAACTTGTGATCTTTCTGTCTCAAGTGCCCACTTCAGGCAGTGCTGAGACTCAAGCCTAGTGTTCTGTGCATACTTCACAAGTACTCTGAGCTGCATCCTGTTTATTGTTTTTGAGACAGGAGGTTGGTACATTGTCCAGGCTGATCTTCAACTCACTGCCTTCCTGCCTTGGCCTCTTGAGTGCTGAGATTATAGGTGGGGTACCACCATAACCAGCGCTGCTCTTAATTTTTTGGGACGGGATCTTGCCCTTGTTCACCTCTAACTAGCGATCTTCCAATCTCAGGCTCCTGAGTAGCTTTACAGTCACCAAACCAGCAAACGAGCAACAGAAGTGTGGGCCGCTGTGGAGTGCTCAGAAATCTAACTCCACATCTAAACGGCCAAGCCTTCCAGTCCACTTATTTGTCAACAGAGAGTGTCATCTCACACATGACTGCTCAGGATCAGGTCTATGTCCCCCCTGGCTGGTTCCAGTGCCACTCATACCTGATAACATCCAGGAACACATCTGTGTAATAGACCTTTCCATCCAGACTGTCATAGTCTAAGGAGATGACATTGTTGAGCCCAGGAACAGGAACATGCACGTCTGTGTGGTCATCGGTGTCCAGTGAGATACGGCGAATGGAGCCTCGGCTAGAGAAGAGCAGGTAGGTCTCTGGCGAAGGGTCACAGGTCTTCCCATCTCCCTTCAGCTGAATGCCAGTGGGGCAGGCACAGGAGAAACCAGAAGGCCGAGGTAAACAGAGGTGGGAGCAACCACCATTTCTCGAGCCACACTTATTAAAACCTGGTAAGAGAAAAGCATCAAGTGTTCACACCCAGCCTGGGAGTCAAGAGCTTCCACACCCAGCCTGGGAGGCTAGTAGACTCTTATAAAGGACCTCTTTGGAAGTAGCATCATAGACCTGTGGTGCCAGCCATACCTAGAGGGACAAAAAAACTTATCCCGGAAGTGGAGTTCAGGAAGTCTTTTTGATTGTAAGTAACTCTGTGCCCTGGCTATATTCTGCTGTTGTGATAGCCTCAGAAATCCAGGGCCCCTGACTCAAGAATCCTAAGATCTTCTCACCCAGTGGCTGTGCCCGGTCAACAGCTTGGATGTCCATGAGGCCTGGCAGGTTGGACCTCACAAGGATGACATTGCTGCCAGTATTCTTGTCGGCCCGGTGGATGCTACGGGTCTGCCAGTCAGTCCAGTAGATATAGGAGTCAAGTAGAGTGAGGCCATACGGGTGCTGGACTGGTGATACCAGTGTATGCCGATTGGCACCATTCAGGTCAGCCACCTCAATTCTCTGTGGAGGAGATTGTGGGGAGGTGGCTATTAGTTCACCGGGGCCTTCACTGAAGATCCTGAATAGTTCTCTTCCATTTTCCCAGGCTTCTGGGAAGCCAGGGTAGAGCTCTTACCTCAGTATGGGCGTCAGCCCACAGCAGTTGGGAGCTGGTCTTGTCCACAGTCAGTCCATTAGGCCACCCTAGGTTGTTGTTGATGAGCACAGTACGGTCTGAACCATCCATTCCAGAACGCTCTAATTTGGCATTCTCCCCCCAGTCTGTCCAGTACATGAACCTGATGGAGGAAGTAAAGCAGCTGGCTAATCTAATAGCTCCCATAGTCTGCAAATACCTGCAGCATGTCGAACATACTGTGCATTCCTACGGTACGCCAAACACTTCACAAACACTATCTCATCCTCGCAAGGGTGGGTGACAAGGTGTGCATCTTTACTGTCACCCTTGCTTGACAGGAGAACGCTGATAAGAATCAGAGATTTTAAACATGAGATCCAAAGTGAGGAAGCTAATACACATGAAAGAATTTAATCTTGGTCTCTCTGTGTGTGCCCTTTTGGATGCCCGTGTGTGTGCACGTGAGGCTTGAGGCCAGAGGTGGATGGTCCTAGCTCACTTTCTACTTTATTTTTTTCTTAACATAGGATCTTTCAATGAACCTAGAGCCCACAGGTTCAGCAAGCCTTGCTGGCTGGCAAGCTCCAGGGCTCCTCCTGTTTCTGCCTCTCCAGTACTAGATCATAGGCACATATCACTGTACCTAGCTTTTTATTTGGGTACTGGGACCAAACTCAGGTCTTCATGCTTGTGTAGCAAGCACTTTACTAAGTGATGGATCTCCCCAGTCCTCTAATCCTGTTTCCTGATGGCAAGGCTCACACTTTAACGCTGTTCATGACGCTGACACAATGAAAGAAGCTGCAAGGGAGTGGAACAGTCCAGTCTCAGGGATTAGTCTCTGTGACCTCCAGAGTTCACAATGCTCCTGGAACACAAGTCCCACTGTGCACCTTCACCTATCCATAGTCTCGGCTAAACTTGACCCAGTCAGCTACCCAGAGTGATAAAGTCAGCTCTCACCCCATTTCATGGTATAGTACAATGGCCCGGGGACTGTCAAGGTTCTGCCACACCAATACTTTCCGCATAGACCCATCCAGGTTGCCAACTTCAATCCGATTCGTTCCCGTGTCTGTCCAGTATACTTTCCGGCCGATGGCATCCACTGCAAGTCCATCTGTGGTCTGCAGACCTGCAGGATGTCGGAAGAGCACACTGACTCCTGCCTTAAGGCAGATGGGATATTTCCCAGCTCTTTAGCCAGACAGGTGGCCCTTGGGTTAGGAGGAAGGCTCACCTGTGGTGATGATGTCCTCATGCTGTGAGCCATCCAGGCTGGCACGGCTGATCCTGTGCAGTGTGCTGTCAGACCAGTACACTTTTCCTGAGAAAGAAGGCTTGACTCAGCCCAGGTCCTGCCTGCCCACAGCAGCACCCACAACTGATTCAGAGCCTGAGACACCAGGGCAGTCAGAACCCTAGAGACCCTAACAGGGGAAATGGATGCAGGTAGGGGGATGTCATAGCAGGGCAGCTCTTGGCAAAGACAAGCAAGAACAGAAGGCAAAGGTGGAGAAAGAAAGGATAGTGATGGCTTTTGATTGGGCACAGAAATACAGATGAGAACAAGAGTCACACAGACCTTCCAGTGGGTCCACTCCAATGGCAATGGTGTTCTTCATGGTCATGTTGATGGGTACCACCACATCAGCAAAATAAGGGATGTCCAAGGAGACCATGCGAACATCAATCCTCCTGGCGAAGATGAGGAAACTATTCATGCCTGCCCAGGTAGAGAGAGAAGGAGGGAGGACAGTCACTCTAGCAGAGACACTAAGAAGATGTGGAGGCAGGCAGACTGAAGCCCAAGGCCTGATACTAGTGGTTTAGCGGTATGAGCCTAGGCAAATGACTGAAATTAGTTAAACCTGTTCTGTACGATGGGGATATTAAAAGGACAAGTACAAGAATGAAAAGAAATCGTGTACATACATAAAACACTGAGCATTAGACTTCACACATATGTATAAGTGGTGCTTCCTTTTTGGGTATTAGGAGAGCTTGAAAAAGGGGCCTCATATGGCCTAGGCTGGCCTTGACCTCACTTGAGGATGAAGAGAGTCTTCAACTCCTAGTTCTCCCAAGTGCTGGGATTACGGTTGTATACCACCCTGCCCGGCTCACCTCTTCATTTATTCTATGGAAGGAGGTGTGGCAAGATGACTCAGTGGGTGAAGGTGTTTGCTACTAGCCTGATGGCCTGAATTCAGTCTCCAGGACCCATATGATGGAAGGAGAAAACAGACTACCTCATGCTATCCTCTGACAGACAGACAGACAGACAGACAGACAGACAGACACACACACACACACACACACACACACACACACACACACACACACAGCTTAAGAAAAGAAGTAAAAGGGTCCCAGAAAGCTTCATTCACCAGCTGAGAGACGTTCAGATTCTTTATGCGGTTGGCCTCCAAGCCTTCCACACAGTAGCCTTAGGAGAGACCTTGATCCCTAACACCGGAGTAGCCAGGCCCTACTTCTGGGATCCTCCCATGAGAATGACACACAGGTCCTGTGCTTACAAAAGTGGCACATTTAAGGAAGAGAGGGTTCCCATGCATTGCAGATAGGACACATTTTTACATTTATTTTACCAAGTTTCTACAACAGGAGTATCCTGTCCTAAACAAATTATCATATTATAACTTTGCAACAGGTGAAACTATTGAGACAGGACAGTCTCTCTAATATCCAAGACGACTATGAGAAACAATGGGACCCAGTCTCCATCCTGCCTACCTGCTCCTTCCCCTAAAAACCCTCACTCTTCCACGAATTCTCTGACCATATCGGAGGATTCCTGCAGAGGAGGGACAGCCCCTTTCCACCCAAACAGGCCATGCTTTGACTCACCTGGCGAGCACGTCTTGCCATCAAGCAGCAGGTTGATACCTGTGGGGCAGGTACAGCTGAAGCCGTTTGGATTTGGGGACCTGAGACACAAATGGCTGCAGCCACCATTCTCCACAGCACACGGTGTTGTCACTGTATAGGGAGGGGGAGCTGTCAATGGGGCAGCAGCTAGGGAAGAAAAAAACTGAAGGAGAAGCCAGCAGCTGTTGATGGCTGCTTACCTGGAGGCCTCTGGCGGTGGAAGACATGGATGTCCATAAGATTCTCCAGGTTCTCCTGCAGTGTCTCCCGGTCTAGCCCAGTCAGCCGGTCAGCACTTTGTATGCTTTTGGTCTGCCAGTCAGTCCAATAGATGCGCTGTCCATATAGAGTCAGCCCGAAAGGGTGGGGGAGTTGACTTCCAATTAGTACCTGGAAGGCCCCAACACTTGTATCATGAAACAGTTAAGGGATCAGGCAAGAGCTTAGCAACTTCCTGTGATGTGGAACTTGTCTCTTTCAGCTCGTGTCTGCCAGAGTGTGTTAACACCTATCTAAGTGCTGTGTGACTACTGGAAAATTTCATTTACATATCTCCAGTGTATCTTAGCTCAAATCACAAAAGGAAAATTAGCAACTTTATAGTGAATACCACCTTGACCAAGCAATCAAAATAAATACCATAAGAAAGGGATTTTTCTGTTTTGAAAGTGGAAAGACTGGCCAGCAAGATGGTTCAGTGGGTAAAGGTGCTTGCCACCAAATATAGTGACCTGAGTTAAATCTCTGGACTTCACATGGTGGAAGGAGAGAATCGACTCCTACAAGCTGTCTTCTGACCTCCACACATGCACTGTACTGCACACAAACTAAGTAAACAGTTTTGTTTGAAATAGAAAGGTTAAGAAAGTCTGAGGAAGAAACAAGACTAGAGGATAAAGAGACAATGACCGTCAGCTGGGCATGTTGGTTCAGGCCTGTAGTCCCAGAACTGAGATGGGTCAGACAGGAGGGTTGCCCAAGTTTGAGGCCAGCTTGGGCTACATAGCAAGGCCCTGTCATAGCAAGACTACGGAGGCTGGGGTGGGGGTGGGGTCACTAAATGCAATGAGTGATTCTGGATTAGATATTGGAATAAAAGAGAAAAAAATTAAAATTATTAAAAGGCATTACTCTTCAGTTTCTTCAAGCTGGAAATGAACGTAAAGGGTATGGATTGCACAGTGATATTATGTCAACACTGTTTTTTTGTTTGTTTTTCAGTGTGTGTGATATCTATATGGGTACACGCCACGTTCCTGTGTGAAAGTCAGAGGAGAACCTCATGTGTACGTCTTTGCTTCCACTAGGGTCTCTCTCACGTTGTTTTTCTGCTGTGTATGCCAAGATAGCAGGCTTATGAGCTTCTGGGATTCATGTGTCTCTGCCTCCCATCTTCCCTTGGAAGTCCCAGGATAACAGACACTCATGCTACTCTGCACAGATTTTATGTGGACACTGGGATTTGAACTCGGGTCCTTATGCTTATATGGCTAATACTTTTAGTTCTGTGCTATCTCCAAGCTTAATTTTACCATATAAGATAAAAGGAAACTCTCTCTCTCTCTCTCTCTCTCTCTCTCTCTTTCTCTCTCTCTCTCTCTCTCTCTGTGTGTGTGTGTGTGTGTGTGTGTCTCTGTGTACGTCTAGCCCACAATCCACCCTAACTCCTAGTAGGCTTGAATCATCAACCAGCAGCCCTGTGTCCCCTGGAGCCATTCTTAAAGAAATAGCACCTGTAACATACTGGTCCCGTAACCTCTGGGTCCCCTTAGCTCCTGTTAGCTGCCAGCCAGAAAATGCTGTCCTAGAGGATTCCAGAGCAGAAGAAGATGCTTTGGTGGCACCTTTACCTTCCTCTTGCTGCCATCCAGCCCAGCAAATTCAATAGTCTTCATGCCGGCATCAGCCCAGTACAGCCGCTGGGACCCATAGTCAATAGCTAATCCGTTAGGCCACGTCAGATTCGAAGAGATGATGACTTGTCGGCTGGAGGCATCCATGCCAGCTCGTTCAATCTTGGGGCTTGCACCCCAGTCCGTCCAATACATGTACCTGGAGATGAGCAAAGGGGTTCTTAGACTTCAGTTAGTATCCAGGGTCGGGTCTCAGTGAGCTTCGCTGAGACTGCTTTGAGGCATATGTGAGGTCGAGCGGTCAATCCAGCATGGAAGAGATACTGATGAGGATGCAGGGTCCTCAAAGGCTTTTAGGGGCTCTGCTGCAAGAGTTACCCCAAGTCTGGACTCAGAGCTGTCCCTGAAGGCCTTATACCCTCCATCACTATTGAAAGGTACCAGAGTCTTGATAGATGAGCGGCCAAGGCTTAAGGAGTATGTAGCAGAGGAGGCTGCCTTGGGAGTGAAGAAGGAAGTGAGAGCCTGAACTCTGTGTGTACTGACTACCACGCCCAGCAAACATGTTCTCCTGACTACACGGGTTAAATAATTCTGACATGCGAGTTCACAGGATTCTATGTGACTGGAGAAGGGCACGGCAGGACTGTGTACCCCAGTGAGGAACCTGTAGAAGAGCAAGACTGTGTACCCCGGGGAGGAACCTGTGAAGGGTATTTAGTCAAACTGAAGTATAGTTTTTGGGGGGATGGGGTGGGGTTTTTGTTTGGTTTGGTTTTTGAGATAAGATCTCATATAGCCCAGGCTAGTCCTGAACTTGCTAAGTAGCCAAGGATAACCTTGCATTCCTGATCCTCTTGCTTCCACCTCCCACGTGCTAGGATTACAGGTACTTATCTGGTTCCAAAATGATATCACTTTTATAAAACCCAAACTGCCATTGCCACCACCACCACCAATATTTGTGGACAATTAGAGCAAAATATATTTCAGAAAATATGTCCTAAAGTGTTAACGATGATTATGCTGAAGGTAAGAATTTTGCTTTCTACAAATTTAATATTCTTTAATAATGAAATTGCTTTTATAAGCGAACAACAATAAAAAAATCTTTTAAAAGAAAATTAAAAACTTAAAAGGTTCTCTTGCCAGAGAGGAGACAGCGATTTCATACCCCTCTCTGCCCTTAGCACATTCACAGATCTGGCTGGCCCCTCTCCCTAATCTCCAGATACCGTCTTGTACCCAGTTCTTGGGGGAGTTGGGGCTGAGAAGGGACAGCACATACCCGCCCATGGGCTCTACCACGATGTCCCGAGGACGGTCAAGGTTCTCCCAGATGAGCACCGTCCTCATGCTGCCGTCCGTGTTAGCCACTTCGATCCGGTCTGTACCTACCAAGGGATAAGGGAAAAAAATTAATTCCGAGTTTGTTCACGCCTTCTCCCCCAACCCCTGCCTAGCACGGAGCTCTGTATTTGCTAAATGCTTGACAAGGATTTTTGTGGTGAACACACAATGGATATTTAGTGACTTAAACTATGAAAAAAAATTTCAAGGCAGTGATTAGTTTCACTCCTTAGAATAGCACAAGTTTCTTAACCTAGGAAGCCCACTCCATCCCGTGGTTCAAGGCAAGGATTCTCAGATCTCAGTGCACACAAAAATGAGAAGAGCTCATTAAAATATAGATTCCTGTAGCTGAATTGAAGGCTCAGGGGTGCTTGCTGTTCTTGCAAGGAACCCAGGTTCAGTTCCCAACACCCACATTGGGAGGCTCAAGACTGCCTGTGACTCCAGTTCCAGGGGATCTGACACCTTGTCTGGCTTCCATGGGCACCTGCACATATCTGGTCTACATACACACACTCAGGCACACACGTACACATAAACAGATCTTTAAAGATTCTTCCAATTAACTCCTCAAGATTTTGAGTAAGTCGGGGGTCCAGGATTTAAATTTCTGACAACTTCCCAGGACATGCAGATGTTGTTGTTCTAGAAACACTTTGAAGAACACTAGTTTAGGGGTATTCTTTTTTTTTCTCCCAAGCCTCTACCCCACTAAGACTCATAGAAAAATGCCTATTTTGTCTGGACATTCATGGAAAAATAAAGACAGGTTATAAGCTGTCCAAGATTCCTCAGAACATTTACAAGCACCAAGTATAGCACAAAGAAGTTGCACTTAGATAAGTACTAAAGACTAATATGTATACTCAGACGATTCAAGAAAGCCAGGCCATGGCTCTCTATACATACCTGCATCTGTCCAGTAGAGCTTGTTGGTGACCCAATCAATTGCCAGGCCAGCAGGGCTCTCCAAACTGGTATCTACTACCACCTGGGCAGGAAGCAAAGTTGTATCACTCTCTGGACTCCCATTGCAACTCTGGAGCCCAAATTCCACCAACTGCAAGGAATGGGAAAACACTTCCCCTCCTGGAGGGACTGGATCTATGCAGCCCTACCTCCTGTCCGGTTCCATCCCACTTGGCCCTGCTGATGGTATCAGTGCTGACATCTGTCCAGTACACGTGGTCATCTCGGGAGTCCCAGTCAAGGGCCACAGCACTGCGCACGTCAGCCAGTGGGATGACATCGTCGGACAGGTCCTCTGTGTCGAAGCTGATCCGACGGATGTCCATCCTTCGGGCAAAAAGCAGGAACTTGTCAAGACCTGATCAAAGGCCGAAAGGGGTCTCCTTTTAATGTTCTAAATCCAGTAATGGTGACAGACACAGATGCTCGCCTGTGTGACACCTGGTTCAATCACACTTCCTGAGATCTGCTGCCTGCCCTTTGCCCCCTACTCTTCATACTGCAGGTGTCCTGAAGCACAGCACAGCCCATCCTCGTGGGATCAGACTTTACAGTCCAGTGGGAACAGAGTTTACCCCACTGCTTAGGTGTCTATCAGTTTCATTTGAACCGTTCTCTCTGAGTTCTCTTGAGCAGTTCCAGCGCTGTCACTGGACCACTGCCTACTCTCAGTTTACTTCTGAGACTTTTATCCTATTTCAGGTCTTCTGGGTTTTTGCTTCCCTAAGATAGGGTCTTACCCAGGTTCTTTTCAAACTCCATCCTCCTGCCTCAGTCTCTTAAGTACTGCGATTACAGACATGCTACGGGGCTAAAGTTTCTGCTTCTATTCTATCGTCTAGAATGAATCTTCCATCTGCTGTTCTCTTCACAGATTAGCCAATAATGACTGCTTACTAAGCTCCTTCCTTGCCAGGCCCTAGGCTTTGTGTTTAGAAAGGCTGAATGCCTCGTATAGACACACAATGTCGTTTTACTCGCCATGAAGAAAAATAAAATTACAAACCTCACAAGACAATGAATGGACCTGAAATGTATTACATTATTAAGTGAGGTGACCCAGACTCAAAAAGTTAAAACAAGAAAACACATTCTTTCTCATATGTGGATCCTAACTGGCAATGTTAAACACATGTGTAAGTGGCTATGAATGAGGGCATAGGCTATGAACTTAGATAGGAGATCACAAGGGGGAAATGCTGTTGAGAAAAGGGGGAGTCAAAGGGCATGTGACCTCAGAGCAGAAAGGAGGCCAAGAGAAGTATAAGGGTATGGGGGCGGGGGCTCTTGTGCAGGGAATGGGCAAGAAGTCAGAAGGAGAAACAGCAAAACCAAATTTTGTTTGCAAAATGCCATAATAAAGCCTCATTCTTTTGTATGCTAAAAAGAAAGAAAAAAAAAGGAAAAAGAAAAACCAAGGTCAGTCTTCATACCAATGCTTTGTGGTACATGTTATTCTTGCTCCCGTTTTCAGAAGAGCATCTGAGGCTAACAGAGATCGGGGAACATGCTCAGGGTTCAATGGCTGTGGACCAGAAGTGGGGCTCAGGCCTGTTCCAGAGGGAGCTTTGTCCACTGTTCTCCACAACAGCCCATCCTCTGGCCTCCTCTGGCTTGTCTGAATATTTTTTTCCGGTACAGTTAGCCTTAGCTATGTTCAGAGAATTGTTTCTAAGACCCCCACAGATACTCAATTCACAGATACTCCAGGCCCTTATATAAAACAGGGCAGTATTTTCATATAGCCTGTGTACATCTTATATGATCTAAGTTATCTCTGGATTACTTGTAATCTATATCTATATACCTAATGTAAGTTTGCTTGACACTAAGGGTTGGATATATAATATAATTAGAAAGGATACAGTTATCCTTTCCCTTTTCAGAATTATATATGTAAGCCTTTAATCCCAGCACTTGGAAAGCAGAGGCAGACAGGTCTCTAAATTCAAAACCAGCCTGGTCTACAGAGCAAGTTCCAAGACAGACAAAACTATACTTGTTCACAGGTTACAGAGAAACCCTGTCTCGAAAAACAGGAGTGTTTGCCTGCATGCATTTATGTGTACCATGTGTATGCCTCCAGCCCTTGAAGACCAGAGAATGTCATCAGAGCCCTTGGAACCAGAGTTGCAGGCAGTTGTGAACTACTGTGTGGAAAATGGAAACTGAATCTGGAGTCTCTGAAAGAGCAGCTGAGCCATCTCTTCAGTGACTCTAATTTATTCCTGAGACAATAATGACTAAATGAGCTGATACATCCCAACAAGATAGCTCACCTGCCGCTACACCTAGCGATCTGAGTCCCATCTCTGGGACTCACAGGATTAAAGAAGAAAACTCTCATAAGTTGTCCTCTGATCTCATACGCACACACAGCCACATAGTGTAACTTATTAAAGGGTAATACATCTTTAGTACAGACACAATTTTAAAATTTCCATCCACAGTTGATTAAATCCACAGACAATAAAACACACAAATATGAAAACCTATGTATTTCTCTACTCAGGAAGGAGCTTTCTGCCTAACTTTACCAAATCCCTCTTCTAAGCTTTACAAATCTTTGAGAGAATGTGCCTGGAAGCATTTTTGCATCTAAAATTACAGAAGTAGATAGGCACAAGAAGGCTAGCAGTGTTGGTCACGCCTTCAATCCCAGCACTCAGGAGGCAGAGGCAGAGGCAGGCGGAGCTCTGAGTCTGTGGTCAGCCTGGTCTGCAGAGTGAGTTCCAGGACAGCCAGGATTACCCAGAGAAACCCTGTCTCAGAAAACAAAACAAGGGCTGGAGAGATGGCTCAGTGGTTAAGAGCACTGACTGCTCTTCCAGAGGTCCTGAGTTCAATTCCCAGCAACCACATGGTGGCTCACAACCATCTGTAATGTGATCTGATGCCCTCTTCTGGTGTGTCTGAAGACAGCTACAGTGTACTCACAATAAAATAAATAAATCTTTAAAAAAAAAAAAAAGAAAAAGAAAACAAAACAAAGCAAACAAAAAGAATGCCCAGGAGAAAACACACTGTATGAAACTAGTTCTCAGTGTGTATCTGAATGAAACCTCAGAATGTTTTCCCCACCCACTGTCTGGAAAGGGTGCAAAGAATCTGATTCTTGCCTCTATGTGTGTGATTGTGTGTGTGTGTGTGATTGTGTGTGTGTGTGTGAAATTGTGTACATGTGGAAGTCAGGCAGGTTCTTCTACATCTTCACCTTATTATTATTCATTTTGAGACAAGTTCTCTCAGTGAATCCAAACCTCACTGTTCTGATTGGCTAGACTGGCAGGCCTGTGAGCTTCAGGGATCTCTGCCTGTCTCCACACGCACCCGGCTCTGGGGTGACAGATAGACACTACCACCACTACCACACCCTAGCCCCTCAAATTCGATTTTAATTAGATTTAAGAGAGCCAGTGGATTATACAGCAGTAAGGATACATACTGAATTAATTGCTGGTCATGTCCTATGCCTGATCAGTTCCTCTCTGGACTAGCCTTAGATAAAGTCACCTGTGTGCTGACTTTGCAAGGTAAAATTGCCTTGCAGGAGCTCCAAGGAACCAAAGCAGGGACTGTGGGAGAGACCAGGGAGTCCTATCATCTTTAACTTGGTGGTCGTAGATCATCACCTGGGATCCCAGTTGCTCTGTTCTAACAACACAAAGTCTTCTATGGATCAGGCTAAAGGTACAGAAGTTGGAAACCATTGCCCTGCTTTCTAGAGGGACTGGATCCTCTTTCTGCCTAGACAGAAGGCATCCTGCCTGGTGAGGTGAAAGCTAAGCCCTGCTGCAGGTGTTTGTACACTGAATGATGTCACTAAGTCTCCAGCTACCACCACTGGCTATTGGTCCTCAGCTTTGATTTGGAAGCCCTCAGTCTCTAAAGTCTGTCATGGGCTCCTTGAGGAATCTGGCTGTCCCTGCCTGACAAGCAATCCTTCCAACTCCTTTCACTATTCCTTCCAACAGTCTTCACAAGGCACCTCTTCTGAGGCTGGTGTCCCAAACCCACTTACTCTGAGCACAGGCGTGGCTGTTGATCTTTCGGAAGCCAGTGGGGCAGGCACAGGTGTAGTTCTGGCCACTGGGTAGACACAGGTGAGTGCAACCTCCATTGTTGTCCCCACAGCGGTTTTTCCCTGCTCAAAGAGCCCAGAGCAAGATGATCAGGAGAAATGAAGAGTTTACAAAGGTAGACCCCACCAGGTCAAAGGGATGGAGGGCTGGGATCTCTTCAAATAAGAACTCTGTCGTATTAATTTTGACATCTGTTTCCAGATGGGAGCACAATGAGTACCTGACACACAGGAGAGATAGTCTTTCTGTAAATGTTTGCATTATATTGAAAGCGAAAAGCCAGATACTACCCAAAATGTCCAGCAGAGGGAGCAAGTAGCCCATGTTAATGCCAGCTCTGGACTTCCCTGACTAGAATTAATAGTATCTATAACAAGTGCAAGGCAGATTCTCAAGAGGCACCAGCTGCCACATCACCGGTGGCAAATCTAGCTCACTTGATGAGACTTTTTTTTTTACCTGCAGGCTGGCGCTGGGGATGCAAGGTATGAATGTCCATAGGAAAGTGGAGCTTGTTGCGAATGATCTCCTGATTCTTCCCAGTAAACTTGTTGGCACTATTGATGCTCTTGGTGTGCCAGTCTGTCCAATACAAGCTGTCTTCAAACACTGTGATGGCAAAGGGATGTGGGAGGCCTGGAGACAGTCCAAAAAGACCTTAGTCCAGACATGGCCTGCCATGGCCCCGGAGCCCAGACCTGGCAGCTACACAAATCTCATCCTCTGCCAAGGCTCCTGGGGGTAGCACTGGGGAAGGAGCAGAGAGATGAAAGACAGCACATCAAAGACCTCACCCTGGCTAATGACAGCCTTGCGGTGACTCCCATCTAGATTGGCCCTCTCGATGACGTGGTGCTTAGCATCCACCCAGTACATGCGGCGTCCAGCATAGTCGATGGTGAGGCCGTTGGGCCAGAAAAGATGAGTGTCAGCAATGATGCGACGTCCAGAGCCATCCATGCTGGAGGCCTCAATGCGAGGGGTGTTGCCCCAGTCTGTCCAATAAATGGTTCTAGGAAGAAGGGAAGTCAAGAAACGGATGGTGAAGGATCAGTGAGCGACAGCCAGAGTAATAACCAGAGATGGCTTTACATGTCAGATTCCACCGGTTTGCCTGGAAAGCATTTTGTTTATTTATTTGTTTATATTTGTTTGTTAGTTTATTGTCTATCTATCTATCTATCTATCTATCTATCTATCTATCTATCTATCTTTGAGGCAGGGTCTCACTATATAGCCTTGACTGGCCCCAACTCAGATCCACCTGCTTCACTGAGTACTAGGATTAAAGGCATATGTCACCATGCCCAGCTTTGAAAGATGCTTTTTTTTTTTTTTAAATTTACTCATTTTAAATGCTTCTTTCTCCTCAGTGTCTGAAGACTGAACCCAATTAATTAAATCCAGAACCTAACGCTAGGCAATTGTTTTATCAGAGCTCTATCACCATCTCTATAGGATAATTTTGTAAATATCTGGATTGAAGTGTCGTGAGACAGGGCATTTGTTCACTGGAGTCTTTTTTAAGCATCTGCTATGGAATGGGTAGAAGTGGCACTAGAAATGGAGAGGTGGACAGAACAGACGACAATCCTCGTGCCTGTGAAGACGACGAGAGCGAGCGCGGTGTATACGCGGGACACATGGGCTCTTCCTTCTCAGTCTCTTCTGCTGCCTCACGTGTTGGATGCCCCCTCTCCCACATACCATATTTCTCCAACAATTGGCATCTAATTGCAGGATCTTACAAGTCATCCTCTCAATTGGTGGCGTGGAATGTATACAAGCCAGAGGCTAAGAATTTCCATTTCAAGAGACTTCAATGCAGGAGACTTGTCTATTAATTTTTAAAATTATTTCAAATTAATGATATTAATTACCTCAACTACTGGCTGCTTTAAATTAATAATAATTTTTAATTAGCTCCACTCTATGGGCTAATAAAAAATACTACACGGTTCAAACTTACCTAATTTGTATATTTCATTCCCTTTAAAATGCTTCATTATTTTACCTTAGGACACCTGTAGGAGCAGTTATATCTTTATTTTGATCAGGGTCTCAGTAGCTGAAGATGAGCTTGGATTCCCAATCATTCTGCTGTCACCTCTCAAATATGTCTATTTTTATGTTTGTTTTATATATGTGTTTGTTTTTAATTTGCCAATTAAGAAATAAATAAAGGGGGAGTTGGAGAGATAACTCAGCGGTTAAAAGCACTGACTGCTTTTCCAGAGGTCCTGAGTTCAATTCACAGCAACCACATGGTGGCTCACAACCATCTGTAATGGGATCTGATGTCCTCTTCTGGTGTGTCTGAAGGGTATACTCACATACATTCCAAAAAAGAAAAGAAAAAGAAGGAAAGGAAGAAAAGAAGGAAGGAAGGGAGGGAGGGAGGGAGGGAGGGAGGGAGGAAGGAAGGAAGGAAGGAAGGAAGAAAGGAAGGAAGGAAGGGGGAAAGGAAGGAACATTAGAGGGGCTGATTAAGCCAAGGATCCTCTGCCACATACTACAGACCCAGGACGCAAGGGCATCTGGGTACAGAGTTTATATTGCCAACATTGCTCTGAGGATGACCCACAAAGCCTGGCCCAGAGGCCTGAGAACAATCCCTGCCCACTGCAGGAGGGACTTGGAAATCTGAGACACCTACTCACCCTTCCATGGGGTGCAAAGCAATGGCCCTGGGCTTCTCCAGGCTCTGCCACAGCAGCACCTTCCGGTGGGCCCCATCCAGATTAGCCACCTCAATCCTCGAAGTCCCGGAGTCAGTCCAGTAGAGCTTGTCATGGACCCAATCCACAGCCAGGCCCCCTGGTGAGAAGAGTAAAGGGAAGAGTGTTAAGAATTCACCCTAGGTAGTCTGTATGCCAGAAACAAGAGCAAACTCTTACAAGAAGTTGCTTCTGAGGCTTGGACCTTGTTGTAACTATTTAACACACATCATCTCTGTGAGCTAGGTACTGAGCTTCCCACAGAGTGGGAAGAGAAGTCAAGCAGTTGATCGGGGTCATGCACTTCATCTACATATAGCTGGGGATGACCTGGAGTTCCTGATGCCCAGGTGCTGGGGATGGAACTCAGTGCCTTTCACAGGTAGGCAAGTGCTATGCTACTGAGTTTTAACTCCAGTCCTGGATTCTAACTTCCTAGTCACTTAATAACCTGCTTGTAGGATAGCTTGAGGCCACCAAACCCACTATTGCTTTTTGTTTGTTGAGATGGGGGTCTCATGTATCTCAGCCTGGCTTTAGACTGGAATGACCTTGAACTCTGATCTTTCTGCCTCTACCTCTTCAGATTACAGGCGTCATCGTCTCTGCTTTATGCAGTGCTTGGGGAGCAAACGTAGAGCTTTGTGTTTATGCTAAGCAAGCACTCTACCAACCGAGCAGCATTTTAAACTCTACAGTTGGTTCCTATCTGAGAACTCTACCCAGGATTTCATTGGAAATAGGCATCCTGCTTTGTGCAGTTTGTAAACACTGGCCTGTCCCTCTCCACTCAGGGCCTTGTTTTCCTACCTGGGCTTTCTAGCCCAGTAGACACCACCTCCTCCACATTGCTGCCATTAAGGTTGGCACGGAGGATGCGGTCCAGGGTGACATCAGACCAGAAGACTAGCTCCCGCCGGTGATGAAAGTCAAGGGCGATGGCGTTCTCCAGGTTGTTCAGTAGCAGCGTGTATTCGGAGCGGTGCGGGAGCACCTGCCGGATGTCGATACGGTTGGCAAACAGTAGCACAGGTTCTGGCCCTGGACACAGCATAGAAACAGGACCTTACTGGGCTTCAGAGCTGCTGGATACCCATCACATGCATCCCCTGGCCCTCAACTGATAGCTGGGGCTCTTTGCCCACTAGAGCATGTCCCAAGCTGCTGACATCTGTTCTAGAAGACTAGAATCCTTTCTAATCCCAACCCAATCGCCTTTCACTTGGTGCCCAGATTGCAACTTGCAAAAAAATGAATCTATGTCTTAGCAAATCCCTCAGCTCTAACACCTGGCTTTTGTCTGGTCAGCCCACCCAGCCAAGTGCCCACACTCCTTACCCAGAGCCTTGCAGCTGCGCCGATCGGGTCGTAGCTCGTAACCTGCTTCACACCAGCACTGGAAAGCCCCTTCACTGTTTGTGCAGCCCTGGCTGCAGTACCCCTCCTCAGCACATTCATTCACATCTGTGAATACCAGGCATGGTGACACAGCCTGCCTACTGCCGTCTTCCCACGCCAAATCACTCCTAAGCCACCCAGTTGTTTTCTTGGTCATATCTCCATATCCCCATCCACTGCCTCAGCCTGGTGGGAAACTGTGTAACAAGTGGTTTGGGGCTTTGAGGTCATGGAGTCTCAGATTTCAAACCCCAACTGCTTACTAGCTGTGTGGCTTTGGGTAAAATTACTTATACTTTCTGAACGTTCATTTCCCTATCTGCAAAATGAGAGAAATGATCCCCACTTCCCAGGGTTAGTGCAATGATGAGTCGAGGTCACACCTATCTGATATGTCACCCAGCTTCCTATATGTTGCTCCCCCTAGCATCCTGACTCCCCCCACACACACACCTCCTCCCCCGGTGCAGGCCCCAGCTCACCCTGGCATGTTCTCCCATCCTCTGTGAGCCGGTAGCCTGTGTGGCAGGTACACTGCACTGCCCCTCGCACCATCTGACACTTCTGGGCACAGCCACCATTGTTAACATTGCAGTTCTCCTCACCCGTCCGGGGCCCTGTGCCAGCCAAGCCAGAGTTGGGAGCAGAGCCCAGAATCCACCCCCGTCCAGCCAACTTGGCATTCTACCTGGACCACGAAGAACAGCTCCCAAAAACTGCAAGAGTCCCAAGGGAGGCCTCCCTTTGAACCCTATGGGTGGGGCTCAGCCACAAACCACGGGCCAGGCCCACACACTAGAGACACTCACGACAGTTCTGCTGTGGACTTTCGTCACTGCTGTCACCGCAGTCATTGACCCCGTTGCACAGCTTCCTCTGTCCAATACAACGCCCGTTCCAACACAGGAACTGGTCAGAGGCGCACTGGGGGCTTCCTAGAAAGAGAGGGAGGAGGGGAGGGCCAGGTCATAGCAGGGCAGGGCTCGAGTCCACAAGGGACAGGAGTCTGTCATTTTCTAGGGTAAACGGGAGCCAGCTGAGAGTCAAGGTGGGAGGGATGGGGTCCAAGGCAGGAAACAGCTCAGACAAGGCTGGTGGAGTTGTCTGAGTTTCTTTTCTCCCTGGGATTCCACAGTGGATGAGCGATTGGGACAGAGTCAAAGAGTATACCCTCATAGTGAGAACCAGGTTTAGCTGGTTGGGGAGGGGAGGGACAGGCGCAGAGACTGCCAGTCCTTCCTGCAGAGTGGAAGTAGACACAAGGGCTGCTGGCTGGAGAGCAGCCCTTCCTCCCAAGGCCAGAGTGAAAGTGAGAATTTGAGCAGCTGCGAAGACTCACAGCCTTGACTTTTTGTTCAAGAATCGTACACAGGTCAACAATGCATCTGGATTGTGCATGTGCATGTGTGTATGTGTGTGATGTGTCATATGGATGTGTGGCACACACATGTGACTATGTATATGGGTATGTGTGTGTGCAGAGCCCAGAAGATGGCATCTGATAACTTTCTCTATTGTCCATTCTCTGTCTTATTGCCTTGAGACAAGGTTTCTCATTGAATCAGGAGCCAGCCAGCCATTTTGGTGAGGCTGGCTGGTTAGTGTGCTTGTGGGATGTGACTTTCTCTTCCTCTCAGGGTTGGTGTTACAGGCATTCACAGCCATGCCTAACTTTTTAACTTGGGTGCAAGGGATTTGAACTTGGATTCTTGTGCTCGCATAGCAAGTGCTTTTACCCACTGAGCTATCTCCCCTGCTCCCACACCTGGATCTGACTCCACCTGGGAAGGACAGGGAGAGTCCAGGCCAACGAAGACTAGGAGTGAAGCATCACCTCTGGCTGGCTGAGACAGCAATGCTTCCTTTGCTTCTCTCCCTCCCACTCCCAAAGTTAGGGTAAGGCTGGGGACACCGCTGGGGACTCCACCTGTGTTCTCACAGTTTTCTTCATCACTGTTGTCTGCACAGTCATCCTCCCCATCACAACGCCAGGACAGACGGACGCAGCGGCCTGACCGACAGCGAAACTGTTCAGCTGTGCACATGGAGGTAGCTGGACAGAGCAAAGACCTAATGAAAGACTGGTCTTCCGACTCCAGCCTGAAATTCTCTGCCACCCAAAGTACACAGGCTATTCTTCTTGACAGTGGTATCACAGAAGGTATCTTTTAATGAACCAGGTGACCCTTCCTCAGAGCACCTTACTACCACCTGTTAGAAAACTGCCATGATGCGTCTATAAGTCTACAGACTGCTAGACGACTGGTATCCCTTTGGATATAGTGCCTCTGTGCAATATACAACCACACAACTGTATAGCTGTTTAATATGTCTCCATGCTCTATCTGCCCCCAAACCCTTCTCCTTAGTCCCCTATGCCTTTGATGCTATCCCCAACTCACTGCAGTTGCGTTCATCAGACTGGTCATCACAGTCTGCGTCGCCATCACAGCGCCAGCCTGCGTTGATGCACAGGCCACTGTCACACATGAATTCCCCAGAGCGGCAGGGCTGGTGGGAAGCTGGGAAAACAAAGGTCTTCTGTCTCTAGCCAGCCTGTGCACACAGCACCTCATGGAAGAGCAGAAAGTCCCAAGTCCCATCTCCTGCCCCTCCCAACACTCCAGCTCCTCCCCAGAGGGACTGTGGAATTCAGACACTGCTCCCCTAAGCGCCTGCCCCAGCTGGCACCTGTGCCCTGCCACCAGGGAAGCTCCGCCAGTCTGGCCCCCCCTCCTCCGAGCTTGCCAGAGCACTCACAGCAGTCAGACTCGTCTGACCAGTCGCCGCAGTCGTCATCTCCATCACAGTGGTAGATGTCAAGGATGCAGCGGCCATAGGCACACTGGAACTCCTCCAGGTTGCAAGGAGGAGAGGGTACTGCTGAGGCTGGAAGGGAAAGCAGCCCTCAGACCTCAGTGACTAGGGACAAGAGGCCTGATTCCAGACCGGGGCAAGGTGTCTTCCTCCAGAATGCCACAACTGGGTTTCATTTGTGATGACACCACAGACTTCTACACACTAGTGGACCAGAGGGAGTCAGCCCTCCATAACTACAGCTACCTGAGCTTGGGGGCTCATGTACCTCAGGCTGGCCTCAAACCCGATCCATAGCCAGAGAGAACCTTAAAATCTTGATCCTTCTGCCTCTACCTCCTGTGTGTAGGATTACATTCAGGTATATGCCACTATTTCTGCCTGGTTTGGGCAGTGCTAAGGATAGATACCAGGGCTTCATAAATGCTAAACAAGCATGCATATGTGTCACATCCCCAACATTGCTCCTTTAGAACACCCACTCCCTTGGCTGCACACAACCCTCCCAGCTAACCCTTATCCAGAAGCAGGAGCCCTTGGTCACTGTCCCAGCCCAGCAGCCTCAGGGGTAGGGGCACTCACGGCAGCTCTCCTCATCAGAGCCATCTTTGCAGTCTGTGTCACCATCGCAGTACCAATGCTCAGCGATGCAGCTCCCGTCACTGCAGCGGAATTCCTTGTCTGAGCACTTGCGCATGTCTAGGGATGCAATGAGACAGGGGTCCCACAGAATCTCACCATCCTCCTTCAGGTCCAGGGTAGGGGGAGTTCCATGTTCCTGACAGTATGGACTGCTCTGCCTGCCTGCCTGCTTTCTTTTAGCTGCACCAGATCCTGGAGCAGTTTCAGGTCAGGTGGCATGCCCTTTGCTGCTGTCTCCTCCCATAGGAGCTCCTGCCCTGGGCCCCTTCCTGCCCCCAGAGCACCACTCACCGCATTGCTCATCACTGTTGTCACCACAGTCATTGTCCCCATCACAGTGCCACAGACTCCGGATGCAGTAGCCGTTCTGACAGGGAAACTCATCCTCCTCGCACTCCCTGGGCGCTGCGGGCACAGATGAATTAGTCTGCTGTGCACAGAGAGCACACTGCCTCCAAGCCCCTCAATAAAGCCTTCTGGGGCAGTCAATAGTCCCAGCACTCCTGAGGACACGCCCACCTATTGTGGGCCTCGCTCACCAAGAGACCCAAGAGACAAGAGAGAAAGCACAGAATAAGAGTGGAAGACCCAAGAGCTCAAATAGACTGGAGGACATCATTTTCTGACAGAAAAAGCCTTTCCCAACAGAGCCTGTGGAATTCGCCTGGCTCCTCCCAACACTCACGACAGTCCTGCTCATCAGAGTCATCTTCACAGTCATTGTCCCCGTCACACACCCAGGAACGGCGGATGCACTTGCCGTTGTCACAGTGGAAGTCCAGAGGGGAGCAGGTAGGCAGCGCTGGGTCCAAGGAAAGGGAAAAGTCAGGCAGGCAGGCTGCACTGGGCCAGAGATCCTTGCTCCAAATCCCACTGTTCTCATTCCTATCCCTGGTCCCCTGGTAGATAGAGCCCCTAAGAGTCTGCAGCTGGGAAGAGGGATCAGCTGAAGGGAATGGGGGCAGCAGAAACCCTGACTCTTAAGACATCCGAGGAAGCAGTAAGAAAAACTTGGGCTGGAGAGAAAAGCGGGGGACCACGGTTGTAGCTCAGTTGGTAGAATGTTGCCTATCATGTATCAGGCCCCAGGTTTGATCATCAGCGCCTCATAAAGCTAGGTATGGAGGCGAACTCACGGAATTCTGACACTTGGGAGGTAGGGCAGGAAGATTGAAAGTTCAAGGTCATCCTCAGCTATATATCAAGCTTGAAGCCATCGAGAACTGAATGAGACCCGGCTCAAGAGATACCAGGAGGGACTAAATCCCCTCCTATCCTCTTATTAAAGGATGATTGACACATCTGGGTTTCACTTCTAGAAGTCATTACTATGATGTCATCTGCCCTTTCTGAGCAGTAGTTCCTTGGACTACACAAGGGGATAATTGCACTCAACTCACAAGAGGTCTTTTGAGATAATGCGTATGAAAGTGCTACATGAAAGGGAAGCATTTATTATTATCATAATTAGCTGAGCTGGTTAGGGTTAATGAGGTCCAGGTTGTAGCTTCATTCCCATTAGACTAATTAGTTACCATCAGACACAGATGCTGCGGGCCAGACATGTACCCCTAAATCCAGACAATTAGCTTACCAGTGAGATTTATATATATCCAAGACAGGACATCCTGGCCATTGTCTATCTGTGACTATGCTAGAGGAAAGGCAAGTTTACATAGAATACAAGATGGGGTTTTTTTTTCAGTGTGGGGAGGGGGTTGAACCTAGAACCTCATGCATACAAGGCAAGTAGCTCCACCATTGAGCTACAGCCTCAGTCAGTCCTTTATGTATGTATGGTATACATATACTTATTCAGGCGGATACACGCATGTGTGTCAATCTTGAGTGTCTTCTTTAGTAGCTTTGTACCCTGTTTTTAAAGTTTATTATTATTCCAGGAGATAGAGCACAAGAACCATAGTGTCCATGGAGAGATCAGAGAATTACTTCCTAAAGTTGGTTCTGTCCACCATGTGGGTCCCAGGGCTCAGTCACTGGGCTTGGTGGCAAGCAACTTCACCAGTCACCCAAAAGTAAGATTTCTTACAAAGCTTATCTTATTTAATACATTTGACTATACAGATTAAAATAATAATCATGAAAACAATCTGCATCTATGTATACCATATAAAAATTTAAATGTATGCCTGTATCATGCACACAGAATTCACAAATACAAGGAGAGCTATTAAATAATGATTATTCATGTCTTTAAGGGTATTTTCTTCTATACCTTTTCCAAGTTTTCTTTTTTTTCTTTTACTTTATTTTTCTTTTCCTTCCTTCCTTCCTTCCTTCCTTCCTTCCTTCCTTCTTTTCTTTCTTTTTCTTTTTCGTTCTTTCTTTTTTGGACAGGGTTTCTCTGTTTAGCTCCAGCTGTCCTGGAATTCACTTTATAGATGAGGCTGGGTGCGAACTCAGGAGATCCACCTGCCTCTGCATCCCAAGTGCTAGGATTAAAGATGTGAGCCACCATGTCCGGCCCTTTTCCAAGGTTTCAAAGTGTGTTTTATTGGGGTTAGAGGCATGAGCCACCCAATAGAAATATAGGTTTTTAAAGATATACATGTGAAGAAATCATGTCTCTCTCCACATCTGTCACCCTTGTAAGAGCCCAACTCTTAAGTCGGACACAAGGTAGGCAGGCATAGAACTCTCCTCGGTTCATCCTTTATCTCCTCCTGCTAATTCTGGGATGCTACTTACTACAGCCATCCTCATCGCTGTGGTCTCCACAGTCGTTGTCTCCATCACACTGCCACTGGGCGGGGATGCAGGTACATTCGCCGAGTGCGCTCACTGCACACGTGAAGTGGCTCCGACCACAGGCACACTCCAGATTGCTTGCTATGCCTGGGGAGAAAGAATAGGAAGCAGAGGGCCTCAGTGCCTGTCCACCCAAAGCCGGCAGGGGTGGGGAGGAGAGAAACCCAGGGGAACGATCGCTCAGAGTGATTTCCTTCCTCTGCCAGGGCAGATAAGATCCCAAAGACAGTTTTAGACTTTGGGACAGCCCAGTTGCCCCATCTATGACGTCTTTACACAGCATCTCTGAAGGCCAGGAGACAAATAAAGCCACCAAAGAGTGCTGTTCTCAGAAGAGTAGAACAGATAATGCTATCAAGACACCTCTATATGCTTTCTTGCAAAACTAGAAAACTGAGACGCAGATACACCTGCCTCCATCTTGAAGCCCAAGCACTGCCGCAAGCTAGAACGGTGAAATTGGAGCACGGTGCCTCTTGATGTCAAGGAATCCACATGGGAAACACGAAGGAGTTTTCAAGTCCTATCATCAGATTTTACTTTTAGGGGGTGGGGTGGGGTGACAAGATCAAGCCACCTCAGGACAGAGTAACCAGGACCAGTCAGTACTCCCAATCAGTGCCTTCCTGTCTGTGAGACAGACCAAGGCCTGCAGGAAGACCGGGGGACACGGCCCCTCCCCCAGCCTCAGCAGCATGCAGCTGGCTTCCCTATTGAGCATCAAGCTATCTGCCTGGCCAAGTCCCATGACTGGCTACAGTGCCCCCTCCCCAGAGTACCCAGCAGGATGCCCTGGGATGGCGTGTGAATGGCTCGGTGCCCCTGTTCCAGCCTCAACTGGAACAAAGGGTTCTTCCAGGGTCACTCTCCCCCTCAGATTATTCATCTAACCCGCTGAGCTGCTGCAGCTGTGGAAGGAAGGGGCCTGCCTTGTTGCTCATCTCTTCCCTAGATTTCCTCCGTTCCTCCCATTAGCTGGGTCCTGCCTTTAGGCTGGACTGAAACTGGGAAGGGTCAGCTTTACATTGCCGTCCCTGTTCCTTTACTATTCACCTCTATGGCTCCCCAGTCTTCCTACTTGTCTCCCAAAGGTGTGAGGTTAAGGCAGAGCTCCCTAACCTGCAATGGATGGCTGAACAGATGGATGGCCAATCAGCCTTTGGCATCTGTGAGCTTCTCAATCTATGGGCAAATGTATATTTCTGGAGTGAAGGATCACAGATTCCTACCAGGTTCTCAACAGGAAGGCCTAGCCTTCTCTCAACCGTCTACATGTAAGAGATCTAGTTACCCCAGGAAAGATGTAGAATTTCCTTCTGAAGCCAAGCAGTGCTGGGTATTCTGGGGAGGGGGCACTGCAGTCCTTTTAGGAGGGATAACAACTTTGCCTTCCTCACAGGAAGACCTCACTTCAAGCCCAACGTCTGTCTTTCTACAAATGCAGACCAGAGGGTTCTTCCCCAGAGAAACTCAGAACATCCAGTTGCCCAGGGCAACTGCCCAGTCACCTGCTCCTGGAGAACTGAGGAGTAAGGGCATGTCTCACTAAGACCTTAGACAGCAGAATCTGAGATATACTGGCTCAGTGAAGTACACACTCTTCTTTACAAAATCCTGGCTAGATTCAGCAGCATGGACTATTCCATGCACGGATACTTCTGGCACACAACAATCCTTCGTGGAGAAGCTGCAGGGAGAACATAAGGCTCACTTAGTAAGTTTCAGCAGGAGAAGAGGAATCGATTTGTCCTTTAGAAGGCCAGTGGTGTTCCAGGATGTATGAGTAGAAGCCAAGGATGCAGTTAAACATCCCAACCATGCACAGGATACTCCCTGTCCCTGTGAACTGGCCCACAAGTCATCAAAGGTGGAGAAATATGCATAGGACCATACAGCAAGAACAGAGGTAGACCTGGAGGGAGATCCAGAAAGAAGGACAGATAGGAGGAAGGGACAAAGTGGAAGAATGCAAAGGGATAATGCTAGCTCTGGAGCAGATGAGCAGATCTTGGGTTCTACCAATCAGGTGCATGATTTTGTGCAATTTGCTCTTTTTTTCCCCCCTTAAGTAGTACTGGGGTCAAATTCACTAAACCACATCCCAGATCTCGTCTTAGTTTTTATTTTGATATAAGATTCAGGGTTTCATTAAGTTTCTGGCCTGGAACTTACTCTGTAAGCCAGTCAGTCCTTAAACGTGAAAGCCTTCTGCTTTGGCCTCCCAAGTAGCTGGGATTAACAGCTGCATGGCCAGGCCTAACCGAGTTTCTTAATATGTTATGGAAAATAGAAAAATAAAATCCACAATTAAACCAGAAAATAAACATGGAATAAACACATTTTATGCCATGGCACACTGAAAATTATCATTAAGTAGCTATGGGGAGATTGAAGGTGTGGAACAGTGACCGCATTTCCCCAAAAAGCCTTGACTTAGGAATTATTGAGTACCAGGAATGGGAAAGCACAATGAACAGTATCCTGGGAGCTATGCACGGGAAACAAGTACAGGGGCTGAAGAGAGGGCTCAGTTAGAAGCTGCTTTTCTAGGGTCCTGGTTTAATTTCTAGCACCCACACAGCTCAGAGCCATATGTGGCTCTAGTTCCAGGGGGACCAATACCTCCTTCTGATGTTCTTGGGTACTGCACACAGGGTGTACACACTTGCAGGCAAAATCTTCATACACATGAGTACAGAGAGCAAAGCCCAGCGACCCTTTTCCAGCTCCTGCCCCTGTGACTGGCCTAGTGTGACACCCAGTTCTAATTTCCTGGGGCTGACTGCAGCTGGCCATCAAGTTGCAGATGGCTAAAGACACATAACTTCCTGCATGTCAGAGAAGTGGCTGGAATCAGAGCTGTCGTGAAGTCCCGGCAGCCACCAGGACAAACTCTTGACTTGGGCATTCATACCGGAAGCAGACACATTATACTCCAAAGGGCAGACTTCTGGACGACCGCTTCCCCTTCAGAGTCCCCAGAGATGGAATTCTGTCGGTTAGCTTGAGTCCTGGCTGAGATCATAAAGGGGCAGCTTTTAACCCTTTTTGCATAAAAGAAAGAAAGGAAACAAATGGCTGCGGTGCAGACGCAGCCTTCCGTGTAAGCGTTGAATCGGAATCGTCAGTGCCACTCCTTGAAGGCTGTTTGCCAGCCACACTGCAGGCTTCCTCAGACCCTTCCATTTTAGGCATTTCAACAAGGAACAGGTCTCTGTGCCTCAGGTGCTCATGCTCTCTCATAAAGCCATTGTTCTTGGGATCCATGTTAAGAGGCTCATAGAACCTACTTTTTAAAAGATGGGTCTTACTACACAGCAACCCCACCCCCATTGGCTTGGAACTTGCTGTGTAGACCAGGCAGGCCTCAAACTCAGAGAGTTCTGCTTGCATCTGCCCCACAAGTGCTGGCATTCCAATAAAGATGTGGGCCTCCACATCTGCCTTCATGGAATCTTTCTGAGAGGTTAACCAAACTCTCGACGTTTACACCTCAACTCCCTCAACCCAGCTACCTTAGCGGTTTGCCACTGCTTTCTTTGGAAGGGGAGAAGGCAAACACTCACCGGTGGTACCAGTCAGACTCCAACATTGTAGAGAGCAGAGATTCCACATTTTTGAGAAGTTATTGAAAGTCTCTGTTAGAGCATCCACAAAACGGAGATGAAAGCAATTCTGTATCAAAGAGTCTGGAACCAATCCTCCTGCCTCTGATTCTCAAGTGCTGAGATTACAGGTATCTGCCACTATTCGTGATGTAGGAGGTGCTGGGATGGAACACCAGGGCTTCAAACATGCTAACAAGCAATTCACCAACTGGACTGCATCCCCAGCCCCTCCTCCCTTCTTTTTCTTTTTGCTCTTGGAGTGACAGGGAATGAACCCAAGCCTTCCAACACGCTAAATATACACTCTACTGCTGAGTCATACCCTTAGGCCTGTTCTCGATGTAAGATGTCAAAGCCTTCTTTTCCTGTCCACTGGCAGGAGTGATGAGGCCACAAACCTTATTTAACAAGAATGAGTTGTTTAGAAGTCTATAACTACATCCAGAGGAAGGGGCAACCCCACTGACTCTTGAGGTCACATACACAGTAACAGCACACAGTTCAGGGAACATTCATGTGGCAAACAAAACAGACTAAGTTGAAAGGAATGACAACAAGGAGCCACCTAGACATGGACCCAATAAGCCCCATCTACCCAGAGTCTGGAGAGACCTCTATAGTTCTGTGTTCCGAGGGTACAGATTACCTAGCAAACATCACCACCACCACCACCACCACCACAGAGCTAAGTAGTAGGCAGTTGACAGCAGGAGATCAGGAAATAGAGCTTTTAACACTGTCCAACCTGGACATATTTGGTCCAAGCTGAGCTGGAAATCCCTGCCCTTTGTCCTTTGTATGGCCCACTCACCAGGCCTTAGCTTCTTGGATGTTGAAATTGTGTGCCAGACAGCTCTTCTGTTCATATTCACAGTGCATGCCCAGTGCTAAAGTATCAGATGAACAGTACAAGCTTGTTAAACGGATGGGCAATGCATGCTTGAGTCTGTGGGAGCTGGGGGGTCAAAACAGGAGAGATGCCCAGAATGGGAGACATAAAAGTAGCCAATTCCCTACTTAACTGGTACTCAAGAGAACTTTGTTCTTCTCTTTCCCAGGCACTTCCTGGTTCTACTCAGGTGAAGTTTGCTCCCTCTGGACTCCTTTCCTCACTCTGTCTCAGGCTTTGGAGCTGACATGTTGTGACAGGCTTATTTCTGTCCAGTGATGAGCCTTGCTTGTTTGATTCCTTGGCAACCCACTCAAAAGGGACACACTAGATACACTACAGGGCCAGAGTTCAGGCATCTTTCCCCCTCCCCCACTTTTAAAAATAAAAAAAGCAGTTATTTATCTTTCTATTGTGTGTGTGTGTGTGTGTGTGTGTGTGTGTGTGTGTGTGTGTATGAGCATGCACTGAGGAGGCCAAAGAAGGACATTGGTTCTTCTGGAACTAGAGTTACCAACAGTTGTGAGTGCCGGGAATAGAACCCAAGTCGGCTACAAGCACAGTAAATGCTCTTAATCTCTGAGCCATGT